TGAACTCCCCATGACTCTGATGGAGTACGTTATAGAACGGCATTCATTGAAACTCACTCGTTTTGATCCAGATTAAATGACTACTTTGATTGACTCTGTAATTACTCATGAAACAAAGGATATTGCCTGTCTAGATGTTTTCCTACCGTTAGCATGTAGATGTTTTGAAGTTTCGTGTTCCAGGTTTAGAGCACAGTACGGTATCTATGGTCAGTTTTGACGTCACTCAAACCAGTGACTTGAGAACATTTTGGTCACTAACCATTGTGCGTTTTGACAGGCTGCTTGACAGTATTAACACTTCTGTTAAGGAACCATGGTCTATAGTTAAAGTATACACTTGGCTCAGTCGTGTCCCAATTTATAACGTGACCAAAATCACGTAGACCTAACAAGTGTCCATCATATATAACCAAAGAGTCCTCGCAATCCCATAGACATGTAAGGAACAACTGCCCCGTGATTCTTCAAACAATCCTAAAGCATCGTTGCCTTATGTAAAGCGAAAAAAATCAAAAACGAGATGGAATATGGCCAGTTTTTGTCCAGAGATATCCATTCACGCCAGCCCTAAAGCTGACTTATTGTCAAATTATTTAGGTCACGCATTTTTCTCCTATCAAGGTGAAAGGGAAGACATTGTTCCAACAGTCGGGCTTACTGGAAAAGCAATCTTCTTGAGACTGGCGTCAAGTCTTGAGTGAGATAAATCGAGTCATTTTGATGATATCCATTCTCTTCATTTGGCAGCTCTGGTGGTGATAAAGTACCATCAGTGCTGTGTGATATGCTATGAAAACTGTCAAAACTCTCAAATAACTAGAAGAATGAAGCAATTATTGTGGTTGGTAAAGCCAGAGCAAAATAGTTGAATAATTACTGTTCCTCAGTTAACCCAACCAGTTTGTGGTCAATCTTGTCGAGAAATTTATTCAGGTAGGTATTTGACACCTCGTGAAGATCGTATTATGGTAATGAAACATAATTATGGAAAGGATCTTTCACGACTGGCTAGTCTTCTGATTACAAGAGAAGGCTGAACTGTGGCAAAAGAGGAATATCTCAATGGTTGCAATTTTGAGAACATAAGTAATGTTCTCGATATGGTCGTTTATCTAGGTCCTAGGTTAAAATTGTTAAATTTCGGGATCGTTTGAAGACTAGTAGGTTGGATAGTTAAGATTCGCAGTGAAACTATGACACAAGAAGAAAAGTCAACGACTTAAGATTTCCTTCCACCTACATACCGTAGCGTATGAAAATTCCCACATGTTTACTGTATATATAGTGACATTTCTTTATTTCCCTTTACATGCTACATTACTTCTCTCACTCAATTTATCTATGGATATAGTGTTCACCTTTTTGAGCTGTTCGTATCTATCATGTTATCGAACTGTCTATAGACCCTGTAGCTGATCGGCTTCCCGATGTCTTTGGGATTTCGGCAACCGTTCAGTTCATATTTGAACAGGTTAGTTTCTTAATAAACTATAGTTTGATCATATCAGGTTATAATGTGACTGATAACCGTGACCACTGGAAAAAAGAATTGTCCGGATATATGTTGTTTGTTTTGTGCTGACGTTTGCTTTGTAGGTAACACTTCCGAATCATTTTGTACGCTATCATACATTGTTATACGAAGATTATTGCAAGTATTCATTTTTCGGTATATCTGTATGGAGGCACCATCAAATAACCCGAGGTTACAGAAGTTCTGGAATTTTTAAAATCTCAGAGGTCTAAAGACAGAGCTAACGAACTAACCAATGTTCTTCTGTGTAGCGTATGAAGCGTTTTGAAGTAACTCTGTGCCAAAACTAAATGGTTTCAACTTAAGAAAGAAAACAAATTACATCAAAAGTACAGAATTCCTCGAACAGTACAGTTTGTGTTATACGGTCAAAGCGTTCTTTAGAGAAAACAGCAAAGAGAACGGTTAATAACTGAGTGTTTAGTACCTGTTTGGTGTGTGCAGTTGATGTCAACAGATATAAATAGTACGTTTTAACAACCTAAGGTGAACTGCCTGGCGACAAAAGGTTAAGAAGATCAAATAAAAGAGAATGAGAACGGGGAACGATTGGTGTGGGGGTACGAAATAAAATGAAGTCTGAGACCACTGACTGACATTTTGTAAATGAAGTATTTACCGTATGACTTTCAGATTTTACTAAAACGTTCTGTAATTTTGCATTCGAATGTCCCCACTTATGTTCTCGTTCATTACGTCTGATTATCAATAAGAATATTCCCAACAAGGCAGGATCAGAAATCTATTCGCAGGTATTTCAACAACAGCTTCCAGCAGAAATTCAAAGGTCCATAGCCATCGACTGAACTATGCCATAACCTTGATTCCAGTCAGATACCAAATTATTTTCAATGGCTCAGTAACATGCAACAATGAAAGCAATTACTGAAAGTTGTGATAGATCCCAGTGAAAGAACTTAATAAAGATATGACAAAACGAACAGTTACTCATAATATACCAAAAATGATTATCAATATAAACTGAAGTGTCTGTTTATAAGTAAAGCTAAACAGTAACAAATGACACAAAAAAATTATTTATTAGGCAACAAAATGATAACTGTTATGAAAAGAATGTTACTTGTGAGCTCCTTCTGAGATAACAACCAAAAACGAGTTCACTTGGTTAACAAAGGTTCCTCTGTACGTGTGGCACAAACGCTTAATGGGAAAGATGAGTCTGTTAGTATTATTCAAAAGTAATCAGAGCCAAAACTACAACTTAATGTAGAATGGTTTAACAGGATGTTATAACACCATCATAATCTTCAATCCCAGGCCGGTACCAATAAAGTGAAACGGACGACCAAGATAGAATTTATTTCTAGTCAACGGTAGTGTGTATCAGTGCAACCAAACAATAGTATCCATTTTTACAACTGATACAGAGGAACAGTGGATATGGAGTAGTAATGCAGTAACATATAAAGTTCTACAAACAAAGGAAAAGTGTGGTCTTTGTTTTGTCATCGCGAAATTTAATGAACATACGTGTTACCGTGAGACAGATCAACAATCAAGTCGGATAATAAAAGTCCAGACAAAAAAGAATGAAGAGAATAAAATGTGATTACAAAAGACCTGAGTAAGAGCTGAAATGCAAGACAGGGAAAAAGATTAAAGAAATAAAAATACTGTTCCATTAAACACTTTCGGGAAAATTTTTAGGGTATTCTTTCTGTTACATACGCTATTTCGCATACTTTCCTAATACACACGGTGTCTTCTTGCTGTATGCTAGCCACTACATGCATGGTTCATCCATTCAGAACTAGTTATTATTGTTATTATTATTATTATTATTATTATTATTATTGTTATCCACAAACATCTTATGGGCACATAAGTGTTGTGAAGAAACCATTTCGGGTCTTTTCAAAAATGCGATAATGCATAAGTTTTAATAATGTTGGCATTATATTTTGGTTACATGGTTAAGTCACCAGCTCAATTTAGTTATTCTAAGGTTCCCATAAAACACTTGTCCTCAATGTATGGTGGGCCAGGATAGAGAGCGATGTGGTTTCAGCGTAAGACAATACAAATTAGGCAGCCACAACATTATAAGTCCTAAATGTCAAATTGAATCTACTATTGTGGGCATCAATTTTAAGGTTGGACATGATAATTTTAAATACACTGAACACTACATAGGAATTTATTAATAAATATATTTTTGGTTACATCCCAACGAGTAGTGAAATTGTATTTCTGATGATTTATAACTCAATGCAAGCCACTTCTTCAGAGTAAATAAACAACCGAATTAAATTAACACAACGCAGAATATTTTTAGTACAACCAAAATCACAAGTGGGTAGATCTATTATTTTAGTGGCATAGACAGGTGTGATAAACTTTTCTTCACCACACTACTGTGGCACCAGCTATTGGACAAGTGCTCGTGACTGACAAAACTGTTTTTCCAACTGCCTGTTAACCTGAAACCTGACAAGTCACCGAGCCCTGATGAGTTGCATCCACGATTGCTGTTGTCTCTCGCGGACTGTCTTTCAAAAGTATTCACTATGATGTCCAACAACTCTCTTCCAAGCTCATCTCTCTGTGGATCGGAAAGATATTTTGATTAGGCCTTTACTTAAGAACGAAAAATGACAGGTTGTGTCTAACAACTTGTCTGTCTAACTAACACAGCAGTTAAGGTATTTTGAAAAATAATTTGAGATGGTCACTGAAACAAGTAGGATCATAAAATTTGGGCGTTAAATGTTCCAACTTTTTCCATCTCCAGAACTAATCATCTACGATGTGACCACAAGAAGGCTGAAGAACCGAAATTAATTGAACTCAGTGATCCCGTTTCTTCAGTCTTCAGTCTTCAGTAATAAAAATAGTAGGTTGGTAAACCTGTGTTAATCCTAACAGGTTGGCTTCCAGTGAAGGTCCAGTTTCTCCTTGAAAATATTCACTGATGGGGCTGATACCACTTGATCGGGCAAAGCGTTCCAATCATTGCCTACTCGATGAGAAAAACGGAACCCCACCTTGAGTTTATTAGATCGTGGTTTATGAACATTCTTGCTTGCAAAACAAGCCTGTTAACCATTGGAAAATAAACTGAAATTATTAACACAGGTCGAACAACGTACTATAATTATTACTGAGGACTGAATGTTATCCTACAATACATGCGGTGTATAAGTTGCTGAACCTCGTGAAAGAGTGGGAAGGATTAGTTTGCGATAAATGGTCGACAAATAACTTTCAGAAATAAATAGAGCTAGGGTAAAGGATTGTACCTTGTGGAGCAACACTCTTCACAAATCCTCATGTTTATCTAACCAGTTTGTTGTTACTTTCTTCAGATTTAGAAAAAAGACCTATACCATTTCATGATCGGAAACGCTTTCCTAACACTAATATGTGAATCCAAAGGAACATATTGCTCGATAAACCTATCTTCCAAAGTTTGAGGTTTGAGGCTTTTGAAGGTCGGTCGGTTGCGGATTTATAGTTATAGCGTTACAATGGAAGTCCTCCAACACCTTCGAGGAACTATACCTACTACAATGAGAGAAATCAGTGCCTTGTCCCAACTAAACCTTGATGAAGATGTTCCATCAATTCAGGGAGCTAATTTCCCCGTCTTGTTTCAGGTAATTGGTTCATTAGATTCATTTCTGGTCAGTCCAACACTGATACGAATTTTAGTGATATAACCGCATTTAAATCTGCTTTTGCTCGTTCAGCTGAAGATGCAAGGGTTTACTCACACCTCAATACTCTGCTCGAACAAGGACAAGAGTACGCGATTATGCTGTACACATGGAGGTCGATATCTAGAGCTCTTCCATTTGTAAGTTCATAATTCAGATGTTATTCTCACTAGATCCGATCAAGTGACCAGCCAAATAGAATAAAAATATATGAAAAAACGAAGGAAATATTAGAACCACATTGTCTTAAACTGAAACAGTTCATGTTCTTTCAAGTAGGTTGCCGAAGAGCACTTCATCAAATTTACTAGGATGCAGCTATACGGAGGTTTGTGGAAGAAGTAAAACGATTGGCTCATAAGGATCAGAAAAACTTCTTCGTAAACCAGGCCTATCTCGTTACACTTGGGAAAATGATAAAAATGTTTGCTCTTCTAGATGAAATGAAGAACATGAAGGCAAGCATGAAAAATGATTATTCCAACTACAAAAGGTGTGTTCATGTTAATTTCTTACTGATAATCAGAGCCGCCCAGTTTCTACAGGTTAACGATCCCGATTCCCATGATGTGAGTATCTTCTTGGCGAAGCAGAAAATCATTCGGGATACACTAAAAGAAAGCTTGATTGCAATTGATGGCTATGAGGACCTTTTGATAGAAATCATTCACAACAGCGCTCAAATGTATGAAAACAAGGTTTATATCCTTCCTGAAGAGAAACACACTCATGTTATAGTAAATTTGGGTTTAGTTCCCGTTCACGTCTTTAGGTTATAGCTTTTTCCCTTTATCTCCTCGATTCAGGTCGTATAGTTGATGGTAAGCAAGTAGGCATTTGCCTGAATAAGATTGCTAAGCGCCTTAACATTGGTAAATTAGATCGGATTTTAAAGGTAAGCCAGATTTGTTCTTTAATTTAGTTTTTTAGGAATGTGAAGTTGTCAATCTGTTCGGTGATATGAGTGTGGAACCATTTTCGTATGTTCGTCAAACAGCGTCGTTTGATCCATCTAAATGGCCAGAGTGCAATAGTGCTAAAGTTTCTGGTCAGGGAGTAATCTTAACACACATGGCGAGATTTCAGTAGGTATTACGTGATATTTCTGTTTTTGCTTGGTTTGACTCAAATCGTCTGTTCATCCCATCACAGCCTAACTAAGCACACATTTTCCGTACATAAAGCACCCTCTTTCCATTAAGCACCGATTACTTTAAAAGGGAACTAGGTTTTTTCAAGTTCAACCTTCTCTCTACTATTTCTTCGAATTCATCAATCGCCTCCATTTTCTTTAGTCGTAAGGTTGGCAAACAATATGCTCTTTGTAATCATTCGAACAATTTACAAAAGGGAACATCCAGGCTACTAATTTCTGTGTCCAAAGATTGAATGGTGCAACTGTCTTCATCATCCCCAAACACACTTAGCTAGAACTCGGGATTTGCCGTGCATTGTTACTATGTGGGTACCACTACTCGGCACAATATTCAGCACCCAACCTTTCGTATCTAAGTTAAATTTGTGGTGGTATTTGGAATTAACGTAAACCATTCTGTCTTTCCTTGTATTAAGATTGAGCTTAGCTGGAAAACCTGTACGAGAGCTTACAAAGCTACTGGAATACATAGACATCTCATCGACTGTACAGTTTAACTATCCGCTTAGATCTCTTCTGCTAGGACCTGTAGTACTACTAGGATGTTAAATTTTTGATCGTTGAGGGATTATTTAAACCATTGACCTAGTAGAAATTGATGTATTTCGATCAATGAGCTATAGCTCTATTCTTACTAAGGAGTTTCAAGACATTTCAATAAGTTTTGGATAGTTAATAGAATTAGATGGACTGGAGATAATAACTTTACAAATAGGTGCTTTCAGGTTTCTCAGCGTTTCTGATTGATTGTAATAAAATAGAGGAAGTATATGAGTGGTATCATATTAATAACTTGATCAAGTTTTATCGAAATTATAGTGACATTTTGAAATTAATGATGATAGCTATGTTCGACACTATGTTTAGTGCAACGAAAAATTCTGAACGTAAAATATTAAAGTGAATTTATTAAATATTCAAAGATAAAAAATATGTATGGGTAGTCCTTAAAAGTTTTACCAGTCGTGGGATGAGTTACATTCATGTTGCCAGTCAGTCAGCTTCAACGTAGGACCAGGCACATATATGCATCGGTCCAAGTTGCCATACCTCATTAGCGCAACAAGATGAACACCGGATTCATAGAAGTAGTCACTTCTAAGGTAGTAGTACATAGAAGAAAGATTTTGTATAAGGATATAATACAGGAAGAAAGAATTAGTTCGTAGAAAGAAAGATAGGAAGCGATTTTAATCTCTTAGTTCAAAGGAAGACAGAGTGTGTATGAAACGACGCCATTGTGATCGATTCTGAGTCATGTCACCAAGAGTCTCCAACCATTGGTTACGATAGTCACGCGGACCCCAACCAGGCAGTTTGAATCTACCAACATGGCTCAGACCAAAAGTTAGTGCCATCGTGGACTGATGCCACGTTTTGGTTTAGCCGCCCCTAACTCTCTTCCAACCATTCGCAACACTAGTCAGCATTGCGCGTCGTGGTAATCGGTGTTCAGGCATACGCAACACGTGGCCCAACCATCTCAGTCGATAAGGATTCATAACCTCATCAACCGATTTACCATCATTCCCTAATACCCTGCGTCTAACCTCAATGTTACTTACCCGGTGATCCCAGCAGATACTAACAATATTTCTAAGGCATCTGTGGTCAAATACTAGTAACTTACGAGTATCTTCTACTCTTAAAGGCCATGTTTCGCAGCCGTATAGTAGAACGGAACGAACTGCCGCGCAGTATATTCGTCCCTTAATTGATAGACAGATATCTCGCCTTCGCCATAGATGACGTAAGTTGGCAAAGGCCAAACGAGCTTTTCGAATCCGTGCTGAGATTTCGTCAGACACCAACCCATTAGGGCTGATTAGACTTCCAAGATAAGTGAAGTTGTCAACGCGTTCGACTACTTCACTCCCTATCCTTAGTTCAGGTGTTGACGCAGACCAGTCCTGAAGCAACAACTTGCATTCAGAGGGAGAAAAGCGCATCCCAAACATTCTAGCATTGTTGCTCAGTGCTACCAAAAGACTCTGCATTTCATCAGCGTCTTCACCAAACAGGACTATGTCATCTGCGTATTCTAAGTCAACAAGTGGACCTCCTGGTAGGAGATCAATACCCGAGAATTCAGTCGATGAGAGCTTTATTTCCATCAGGATGTCTATGATAAAGTTAAACAAAAAAGGAGAAAGTAGACAGCCTTGACGGACGCCACTTGAGGTTGCAAAAGCAGATGACAGTTCGCCATAGGCTCTGACTCGACTAGTGGTGTTCGAGTAAAGAGCCTTCACAAGGTTTATGTACTTCTGAGGTACGCCTTTCAATGACAGACACTGCCACAGAACCTCTCGGTCAACAGAGTCAAACGCTGATTTTAAGTCAAGGAATACCACTATTGTCGGACGCCGATAAGTATGCCTGTGTTCTAGAACCTGACGAATGGTGAATATGTGGTCAATGCAGCCACGACCAGGTCTGAAGCCAGCCTGATTTTCACGTGTTTGCAGTTCACGAGTCTTAGTTAGGCGTCCGAAAATTATTGAGGCTAGTATTTTAGATACTATATTAGTTAAACTAATCCCTCTATGGTTGTCACAGAATGATTTTGACCCTTTCTTAAATATTGGGACGATAAGTGATTGTGACCAGTTAGATGGGATAACGTCTAACTCCCAGATTTTAGCTAAAATGTTAGTCAACATAATCGCTAAAACTAGACCACCATCCTTAAAAACCTCTGGGGCCAATTCATCTGGACCAGCTGCCCTTCCTCGTTTCAGATTAACTATAGCCTTTTGAACTTCAGCTAGAGTTGAGGGACCTACTTCAATGTTCCATTCACACTGTTTGGGAATAGAGGGTAGTTGTAGAGTAGCTGAAGGCCAGCTAAACTGTTCTCTAAAATGTCCCACGCATCGTTCTAAACGTCTGGACTGGGAGCATATAAGAGTGTTGTTTTTTTCGAAATAGTCTGACTTACACTTGACTGATTAATTCCAGTTTCTTTTACTAGTCTGTAGAGTTGTCTTGTGTTCCCTATAGCCGCCGCATTTTCTATCTCTTTTGCTTTCGTTGCAGGTTTGTATCATTAGTTTAAGTTAATTTTCGACCTAATTCGTACCAGATATTAATGTATTAGCCACTGTCATACCACAACCATTTAACGGATACGTAATTGTAATTTAATGGTTAAAAGATTTGGCTTCCAAGTATAAGGTCTTCGGTCCGAAACTTATTTATTTTATTATTTATTTTATCTGAACACATAAATATTGGTACAGGGGGGCACCAAATATATATGCGCCACACAAAACAATGATAATTTGAAGAGAGGGAGAAAAGAGAAAAAAAAAGTAATGAACGGAAAGGTACAATCAGAAGAGATCTTTCAGTTAAGGAAGATACAACCACTTTTTATGAAGAAAGTAAGAGGTTACAGCACGATCGCCACTGGCTTCTATTCTTAGCCATATCTGATAACGTCTCTAGCCACTGCGTTACACCGTGTCTCGGACCCCAACCAGGGAGTCGTGAAGGACCAACAGAAGCCAGCCCTTTGCAGCTTTCTTTCATACCACGACACCATGTCATATACTGACCACCTCTCCGCTTTTTCCAACCAGTCCCAGAGTCGGCAAATAATGCACGACGAGGAATTCTCTGGGCAACATTCGTAGAACATGTCCAAGCCACCGAAGTCGGTGTTTCAAAATGGTGACACCAATTTCATTATCGTCTCTGTGACCGAAAACTCGATGTCGAACCTCTGCATTACTGACATGGTGTTGCCACTGGATGCCAGCAATCCTTCGGAGACAGCGATGATCGAACACAGAGAGTCGTCTAACATCCTCAACTCGGAGAGGCCAGGTTTCACAAGCATAGAGCAAAACTGCTCTCACCGTCGCGTTGTAGATCCGACCTTTTACAGCCAGACTAACATCACGAAGGCGCCAAAGATGGCCCAGATTGGCATAAGCCGCTCTGGCTTTCACTATACGTGCATTGATCTCATCACTCACACCACCACCAGCACTTATGCAGCTACCTAGATACACGAACTTCTCGACTACTTCAATCTGCTCACCATCCAGAGTGAGTACAGGATTAGAATCCTGCCAGTCTTGTAGAAGAACTTTGCACTTCGAAGGTGCAAAGCACATACCATACCTACGGACACTGATTGCCAACTGATTAAGTGCGGATTGCATGGCTTGGGCATTCTCGCACAGTAAGACAATATCATCCGCATACTCAAGGTCGAGAAGTCTTTCTCCAGGCAACAGATCCACACCACCATTACTTACATCCGTCAGAGCTGTTTCCAGAATGTCATCGATGGCAAAGTTGAAGAGGAATGGTGAGATTGGGCAACCCTGCCTAACCCCACTGCTCGAATGGAATAGTGGAGAAAGGTGGTTGTATGCCCTCACTCTGCCTGAGGTGTTTGTGTATAAAGCTTTTAGGATGTTAATAAACTTCTCAGGCACACCCTTCTTCAATAGACAATCCCAGAGAACAGTTCTGTCCAACGAATCGAAGGCAGCCCTGATATCAAGAAACACTACGATTGTTGGCCTTTGATAAGTATGGCGGTGTTCTAACGCTTGGCGGAGGGTGAAGATATGATCAATACATCCTCGACCAGAACGAAACCCAGCCTGCTCCTCGCGAGTCAATCCGTCTCGGGTTCTGAACAACCTACGAAGTATGACGGAAGCCAATAGCTTGGACGCAATCGGAAGTAGACTTGTCCCCCGATAGTTGTTACAGGAACAACGTGAACCCTTTTTAAAGATAGGGACAACTATCGACTCATTCCATGACGTTGGTACACACTCTAGTTCCCAGACCTTTGTAAACAACGTCGTCAGTCCCTTAGTCAGAAAGTCACCACTATCTTTAAAAAGAGCCGGAGGTAAGTCGTCTGGGCCCGGTGATTTGTAACGTTTCAAGAGTTGGAGTTCCTTGCGGACTTCCGCCTCATTTGGTGGATCAGTCGTCACCGGCCATGGAGGGCAGGACAGTCTGACCGATGTTGCCGGAGCAGCAGGCCAGTTGAACTGCCCTTCAAAGAATTCTGCCCATCGTCCAAGACGTCGATGGATGTTAGTGATTGGCGTTCCGTCATCCTCGCAGATTGTTTCGCTCACACCAGACTTCTTGCTGCCAGTGGCTCGGATGAGTTGGAAGAGCTTCCGGTAATTACCAGATGCAGCTGCTGCTTCCAACTCACTGGCACGCTCCGACCACCAGGCTTCTCGGTCCTTACGCAAGCTTTGCCCGATTTCATTACGTAACATCCTTCGTCTGTGGTCAAACTCACGGTCACCCGGAGTAGACCGACGGGCTTCAATCAGTTGTAAGGAACCAGAAGAAACCCAGTGCTTGTAAGCGGGACGTTTCGCAAACCCACAACAGACTGTACCCGCCATTTTCATGGCGTCATGCAATTGCAACCAATGCTCATCTATACTTTTCGGTGGAATGGTAGCTAGCCTAGAAGCTAGCTCGGTTCGGTACTTACTAGCAACAGAAGTTGCAGCCAGCTTGCTAACACCAATCCTTTGGTGGCGGTCACTTCGTTGTCCACTGAAAAGTAAGGTAAGATTGGCGCAGACCAGAGCATGATCAGATTCCAGATAGGTACTCCAAAAGGAGCGGCAGTCTTGTACACAACCACGCCAGCGGTAGCTGATCGCGATGTGATCAATCTGAGTCCAGGCTTGAGATGCAGAAGGAGGACGCCAGGTGGCACATCGGCGATGACTGTGCCGAAAGTTAGTGCTAGCCAGAAACAGGTTGTGGTCTGTGCATAGTTGCAGTAGACGTTCCCCGTTATCCGTCCTGCGACCAACGAGTCCCCATCGGCCACCTAAACGACTCTCTTCTGTGCCTAGACGCCCGACCTGAGCATTCAAGTCTCCAGCTAGTACTACAATATCTGTCGAACGCACTTTCTGGAGAAGAACAGTTAGCTGATGGTAGAACTCGTCCTTGATTGCATCCGGGCTGCAATCTGTCGGGGCATAGGCGGAGATGACGAAAAGACATCGTTTCTCACGCCGATTTCTTCTCACTTTGATGGAACTTTCTAATCTAACAGCACATAACCGACTGTTAATGGGGATCCAGTCGACTAGTGCTGCCTCAGCTCTAGCGCTTAGTGCGACACCAACGCCAGCAAGACCAGACGAAGATGCCACAGGGTCTCCGGATAAACGCACATAAAACAAGCTTTTTGAAGTGACAGATGGAGAGCGAACTTGTAGTACTTCACCAGAGTCTTGAATACGGGTCTCGGAAAGACAACACACATCAATATTAAGACTTTCCAAAGACATAGCCAGTCCTATCTGTTGTCCGACCTGCATAAGTGTGCGAACGTTGAAGGTAGCCAGTTTGAATGGTGCACGCGGTTTCATAAAAACTGCTTCAGTACTCATGTTCGGTAGTAACATACAATTTTCAACCAGGCAGTGACTCGGGAACGTTTAGATAAAGCTGAATTTTCACCATAGGTGAGCTGCTGTCTAGGTCGAAACGCATATATAAAGTAGGAATAAAAGAGGGTGAATAAATGACGTGGTAGAGTAATAATAATAATAATAATAATAATAATAATAATAATAATAATAATACGAGTTATTTCAATGTTAATCAGATAGAAAGGAATATTTTCCATAAGCAAATTGTTCATCATAGTTTTAGTGAGTGGGCTGGGATACTGCCCGGGTGCCCAGACCGAAGCAGGTGGTTTTCTTAGGGGGCCACACCCCGAGCCTTTGACCTAAAGGTCTAGTCCACAAGGCAGTGGAGCATCGTGAGGAGATGCAGTCCCATGGAAGCCGGTGACCAAAAGTTGGTTCATACGCCATTTGTTCCCTCAGGATACTGGAGCCCATGTGCACCATAGAATTGGGATCCGGTTATAGCGCCGGACATTCGCTTTTCGTCCTCTCATTTTCGTAAACAACACCCCCGCCACGAGAAGGCAGTGAGTAGGACTTCCCTGGCAGAGGCTGTATACGCGTGGCCGTGTGAGAGTATTTCGATAGTGAGGGCGAACTCTCCCCTCTCTCGGCCATACCAGGGCATTTGGGGTTCGGTCCGAAACTAGCTTCATTTCAGTTTGGATAGCTGAGTAAGTTCATTAGCCGTCCTACACAAAAAGTTGGTGCAAAATCGAATCCATAAATTTGTACTTGGTAAACCAGTTACCATTTTATTAGTGATGTGCTCGTGTATAGGACGATCAGTGAGTATATTTTTGGATTGTGATTTATCTTTGTCATTCACTATGCTTCTGAACACTCAAATTTATTGTACGCCACAAACTAGCCCATTATATCAATACTATTTCCACTTTATTACACAGAACGGTACGCGTAAGAACTTCAGTAACGTTAAAAGCCACATAAAACATCTCATATCATGATCTATTTATTTGGCTTAAATGCTTTTTGATATTGAAAATTCTGATTCCAGAGAGGAATATACTTCATTGACATCCGATTTAGCTTGGCATACAAATACAACGTCAATTCGTTTAAATGAACGTTCTGCCAAAGAGAACCAAGAACTTTACGATCTTGCACTTCGAGGTCTTCAATATTTATCTGGTTGGTCTGTTCAAGTGTTAGATACATTTTCATGGAAGCTTGCTCACTGTGCCAGCGGTTTCACAAATCATGAGTGCCCAAAAGATGCTGAAAATTATGAAAAAGTATGCTTTGATTACATTCTCGTGAATATGAGGTCCTGTTGAATAGTGATATTATTTTGAGCTTTTTTAATACGTAACTGAATTGAAAAAAAAACCGTTAAGTCTGGTGCGCTAATAATTCCTACCAAACTAACATTGTTTGCGGAGTGAAAAAAAGTGCTGAGTAAAGCAAATTCATTCAGTGCTCCTAAGATTTGCCACTAAAGTTTTACTTTTTTCAGTGTTAATCAGCTATGGTCATAAATTTTCATCACGTATGATTTGGTTCGCGGTATGTTTCTCCCTGTTTGTGCTTTTGCTTTCGAAAGTGGTACTCTTTGTCAGCGGTCACTGTAAAATGAAATTTGAATTGTAAAATACAAAGAATAGGCGTTAAACGTTGTTCATGTGTCACATTGAATTATGATTTATTTTTATATTGTTTTCCAGCGACTGGGATTAGGGTCCAGGACACTCATCTTACCTTATTAGAAGTGAGAACGGGATTATCTCCCAGTTACTCTTGCATTCCGAATTAGGACTTATACCTGAGACACACCAACTATCAAAGCACCTTGTTCGGGAAGCTACTGGTGTCTGAACCACGGGCATTGTATTTGGTTTATAATTTGCTAGTTTACATTTCTCAGTCACAAGCTTTTGACCGTGATATCTCTTTGTTTCTTGATGGTAATCTAGCTTTGTTAATAAAAACACAATGGTCAATAAACTAAGCTATTTAGTGTCTTGATGTAAACAACCAGTAAGTATTTGTCAGTACTCCTAGGCAAACATCTTACCAATTGTGTGGCTCTAATATGCTCTCATTCTCAGCGGTTGTAAATACTTCTATTTGTTAGGTATCAGTTAGGGAAATCGTAACTCAGTTCGTTTAATTGTTAAAAGATAACATTTTAATGAGCTTTTCACAGTTATGAGAGATGTGCATTTAACAGTCCATTTACTCTTGTGGAACAACACACACAGTCCATAACCAGCATTCAGTCTAACAAGTATGAGGGAAAAAAATTCCAACCTGGTTCCATAAAGGCATGAGTTAGGCAGTTAAAAGTTCAGTCTTTGAATATTTATTTGACTGTGATCACTCAACTAATCTACATGTTAATCTTTAAGTTGCTTAAAAAATCCGTCCAAATATACCTAGGGTTCTTCACCTTCAACTCAAAACAAGAGAAGTTTTACTGATTCACAGAGTGAAACGTAGACTGCATACTGAAGAATTATGTTTTGTATTATATATATATATATATATATATATATATATATATATATATATATATATATATATATATATATATATATATATATATCGCCTTTCTGAATTAATTTCCATCATCCAGAATATATTCATTTGTTTTCTCGTTTCCTTCAGGCCACTCGTTATAATTACAATGCAGAAGAAAGATTTGCTATGATTGAAATAATCAGTATGATTAAATCTGTTCAAACACAACTTTTACGATTGGAAGCTTGTTATTCAGAAGCGATTGGTCGTTCTGTTTATCGTGAACTACAGGCAATTGTTGTTGGCCAATTAAGCGCTCCATTGCTTAAAGCACAAAAGAAAAAAGAACGAATCATGCTAGCACGTTTGATACTTGCGATTCAAGCGACATGTGCTGATCAAGTATGCATAGTATTATATCATAACTGTTTTATCGGTGAAGATTAATATTAAAATAATAAAGTGTAGATCAGTTTATAATTTTATTATTTTATTTTATTTGAACACATAAATATTGGTACAGGGGGGCACCAATTATATATGCGCCACACAAAACAATGATAATTTGAAGAGAAGGAGAAAAAACATATATATATATATATATATATATATAAAAGTAATGAACGTGGGGAATTATAAAAAAAAGGGAGAGAGAGAGAACAATGGTGGGGGAAACGGAAAGGTACAGTCAGAAGAGATCTTTCAGTTAAGGAAGATACAACCACTTTTTATGAAGAAAGTAAAAGAAAGTTACAGCAGGATCGCCAATGGCTTCTATTCTGAGCCATATCTGATAACGTCTCTAGCCACTGCGTTACACCGTGTCTCGGACCCCAACCAGGGAGTCGTGAAGGACCAACAGAGGCTAGCCCTTTGCAGCTTTCTTTCCGTTTCGACTCAGACAGCAGCTCGCCTATGGATCAGTTTATAAGGATGTTTAAAATTATATTTAAAAAGTATTATTATGTTGATATTGGAAAGCTATTCCGATTTTTATTTCTTTCAACTAATTGTAGTTACATGTTATTTCTGTTCAACATGAAAGTGGCATTTAGATATGTAACATTTAAAATTAAGTCGTGATATATATTAAGGGTGACGAAAGTTTAAAATATCAATGGTTTAAGTAATGTTTTATGGCTTTTATGTTTAACATATGTAGTATTAGGTGACTTGAATTCGACCGAACTAAGACAATGGATAGTGTGTTTCAAATTCATATTGTAAACTTTAAAGAGATAAAGTATTGCCTATAGACTTTTATTTAAATCTTCTCATAGGTATCTTATTAGAGGTAACATTCATCGTCTTGTTTTGATTGATTTCTTACCTTGAGACTAACTAAATCCAAGTTTATAGATAACATAATCCTGTGTAATACGATTCTTAAAAAAAAACATAGTCCTTTGCATGTCTTGAGTGACAGTGCAATATTTTTTGGGATAGATCTACCCCTTGCTTATGTATGAGATTTTGCTTCATGACTGATCTACAATAATTCATAGTATGATTATAGAAAGGGAAATAGCTGAAGGCCTTGATCGGTCCACTTATTTTGAAAGTCTCATCAACCCTTGTGGATTAGTGACTAGCAAAATCTTGTCACGTTTTCAAGAAGCTGCTAACAGGCTATGACTTGAGGATATAGCACCATCAAATACTCCCATACTGTATGTTTTAAGCCCTTGTAAAGTGTAAACAGGTTATTTTTCATCAGTGGAACTGCATCGTTCAACCCATGTTTATCTCGTTAGTTGGCTCACACTCATGAACATCTATAACTATTATGCAAATTTTAGTATCATCATTACTAGTACCAAACATATCAAACTTTCCCACCTAAATATATTTTTTTTGTACCAAAAAAAACGTGATAACATTTCATCAATAAACATTCTTTAGTTTTGTATTAGTCGTTTTCGGGAATACAGATTCTCTCAACAACTTTTATTCTCATCACAAGATTAAGTCAGAACGACTCAATTCCGATCCCTTACTTTTCTCCTCTCAGATATCCGACACAATGGATTTGGATATGATGATGCACACTAGTAGCAGTAGTGGCGGTGGTGGTGGTACAACAGGATCCAAATCATGGGGTAAAGCTGCTTCTTCAAAACTGTCGAATTCAAGCAATAATAATCATAATAATAGTAATAATAGTATGACTACAGGGTCGAATTCTACGATGGCTGCTGTTGCTGCTTCACTAGCCAATAATAATGACAGTCCAACAGGATCGATTAGTACAAGTAGTATATTTGATTCAAATAAACGTCGAGTTGGTCCATCATCTAGTCAATTGTATTTAGTACGAACTATGTTAGAATTAATGGTTGAACAAGTTTCATCAACTAAACAAATGATACGAAAAGAATTGGACACTGCAACATTATCAGCGATAGATACATTTCTTAAGCATAGTTTTTATTGGCCATATCTTCTGAATTTCAGTGGTAATGTGAAAGTATTTATCAATTTTATCCATGTTTAATTTTATTCATACAAGTGTAACTTGTAATTGTTCATGCAAATCTGTTTAGGTATAATTAATCACTAATTTTAAGTGTAGGTGAATTTCTATTAGATAAGTAAATAAATGTAAGCTGACTCCTTAACTGAAGGAATGTGTGTTACGTATGTCCAACCACTGCCTACCTCGATATGCGATGTTCGCTCAATAATAGGAATAGGTTGTAAAAAAAAACTAGAGGCGGCTAATCACAAACTTTGAATCAGTTCGTGAACTCATTGGTCGTTAGGGTAGGTCGTGTCGATAGGTACAGATTATTCGTGATTATCACAATCAATAGTTGTAGATGTGTAATATGTCACAGAACCGATAAAAATGACACGAAGACATTCACTTTCTGCCTTTCTTTAAATGTTGAGTTTAAAAATTATCTCATATTTTTCATTTCACGAATTAATTGTTTCTCACCCAAGCACATTGTTAACGCCTGATCTTCTTTAATACCACTACTCTAGCATTTGCCTTGATAATCTTATCTTGTGCTGATACGGTTCAGCAACTTAGACAGACGCTCATATCTGCCAGATCCCACTTTGCTTATCAATGATCAAGTGACTAACTTATTAGATGTTCATCATCAGTGTGGTGGTCTTTTCATGCTTAGTTTTACATTGATCACTCCTGTTAATGTATTCCCAACTAGTTCAAGTTTAAATCATGATTTTCTAATGATTACCTTTAATTTTGACATTCAAAAGAAGTATTCTAAAATTGTTAATTCATCTCATTGAATTAATTATTCACTGAAGTGAAAACTAATACACGATATTGGTTAGAATACATTGGTCAAGTAGTTTACAATATGTATTATATCAGTTTTCTATTTATTTACTTTCACGTATGGTCTAGTTGAAAAATACTACTTATCTCTTATGAGTAGTTTATTACACCTAATCCTGTTATTTACTGAATTAATTTAGTATTTTAAGTAATTGCTTTTTCAGCTGTTCTACTTACGTCATTTTAGGCAGATGATCAGTATCACTAACGCACACAGAAAGTGTAACTCAAGTAGTAAATAATAATAATAATGTGATTTCTTTGATTGTTAATCGAAGCGAGAATAGAGTTTTCAGTAAATATCATCATTTTCATTATATTTGTGTGTGAGCTTTGATACTACCCGGGTGCCCAAACCGAAGCAGGTGGTTTTATTAGGGGACCACACCCCGGGCCTTCGACCTGAAGATCTGATCCATAAGGCAGTGGAGCGTCGTGAAGAGATGCAGTCCCATGGTAGTCGATGACCAACCATTGGTTCATACTCCATTTGTTCCCTCAGGATACTGGAGCCCATGTGCACCATTGGTTTGTGATCCGGTTAAAGCGCCAGACATTCGCTTTTCTTCCTCTCATTTTCGTAAACAACACCCGTGGTGTGAGAAGGCAGTGAGTATGACTTCCTTGGCAGAAGCTGTATACACGTGACCGTGTGAAAGCATTTCGATAGTGAGGGCGGACCCATCCCATTCTCGGCCATACCAGGGCATTTGGGGGCAAAGCGAAGTACATGAACATGTACTTGGTAAATGAGTTATCGTATTTAATACAATTCCAGTGCACTTGATTCTTATGATTTAGCTCAAAGAAAACTTCCACATAAAGATAATGTGGTGGAAAATATGATTGAGTTACCATAAAACTGCGCTATTATGTTGAAATCAATCCTCTATTTGAGTTAGGTTTTGTGTCACGTTTCAGTACTAGAATTTTTTTCTCTGAACTAGTTAAATATGGATAAGAAACTAGTGTGTATACAGTAAAAGTGAATTTAAAATTGACAAGCGGTGAAATCTCATATTAGACAATCTTGTTTTCCTATTCGCTGGTAAATAGTATTCAGTATAAAAAATTAATCATTGTGGATCGATTTTGTAATAATACATTTTTTAAGAAAATGTTACATAATAAGAAAGACAGTTGAGTGATGAGGAAGAAGGGGGAAATTATGTTAAAATTATCCGGTTAGGTCGACAAATACAAAACAGGTGGCCTTATCAAAACTAAAGAGTATAGGTAGTGTTTCTGGGTGTAGATATCGATTTCAACACGGTGAATTCCATATAACGCATCGATGATGTATAATGAATTATTTCCTGTTGGTACAATAAAACTCTGTAACTTATTTTTGGTCAAACAATCTACTGTAGGTATTCAGAAATCTTTGCTGTGTTCTGAGATGGAGTTGTTTAGATAATCATACTTTATTTAATTTACCATGTTAGCTACGCTTCGAGAATAAGCCTTTTAGATTAGAAGTTCTATACAACAATGTATATTACTTCACCGAGATAAGTACGGTTGTAGATTATCTCTTATTTTCATTTTTGTTTACCTCTTTCCATCCATTATGCTTTTCCATCTAATATCTCTTTTTTCTCTCATTAGAAACTTTAATCAAGTGTTGTGACCTATCTCAACTATGGTATCGTGAATTCTTCTTAGAAATGACTAATGGTGCTTGTATACAATTTCCAATTGAAATGAGTTTGCCATGGATATTCACCGATCATATTCTAGAAAGTGAACATCCTGGTTATATGGAATATTTACTCTATATGCTTGATCTTTACAATGATGCTGCTGATTGTGCATTAAATCGGTTTCGGCGACGATTTCTGTATGAAGAAATCGAGGCTGAAGCGAATTTAGTCTTTGATCAACTTGTTTATAAACTAAGTGATAAAATATTTCGACACTATAAACGCTATGCATCATCAATTTTATTAGATAAACGTTTTCGAGCTGAAGCCCAACGTACTGCTTCATGGCGTGAACCTTATCCACCGCCTAATCGTTATACTGCAGCTTTACTTCGACAAAGAAATATTCAATTGCTTGGTCGTTCTATTGATATAAACCGATTAATCTGTCAGAGGATGACTAAAGCGATATACAAATCAATTGAAGTTGCTATTTCACGTTTTCATAGTTCAGATATAACAGGAATAATTGTAAGTTTGACTTTTATTATTATTATTGTTTTTTGTAATACAGTACTATTACTTAGAGACACTTGATCATGATCACTAACATCCATCGACGTCTTGGACGATGGGCAGAATTCTTTGAAGGGCAGTTCAACTGGCCTGCTGCTCCGGCAACATCGGTCAGACTGTCCTGCCCTCCATGGCCGGTGACGACTGATCCACCAAATGAGGCGGAAGTCCGCAAGGAACTCCAACTCTTGAAACGTTACAAATCACCGGGCCCAGACGACTTACCTCCGGCTCTTTTTAAAGATAGTGGTGACTTTCTGACTAAGGGACTGACGACGTTGTTTACAAAGATCTGGGAACTAGAGTGTGTACCAACGTCATGGAATGAGTCGATAGTTGTCCCTATCTTTAAAAAGGGTTCACGTCGTTCCTGTAACAACTATCAGGGGATAAGTCTACTTCCGATTGCGTCCAAGCTATTGGCTTCCGTCATACTTCGTAGGTTGTTCAGAACCCGAGAAGGATTGACTCGCGAGGAGCAGGCTGGGTTTCGTTCTGGTCGAGGATGTATTGATTATATCTTCACCCTCCGCCAAGTGTTAGAACACCGCCATACTTATCAAAGGCCAACAATCGTAGTGTTTCTTGATATCAGGGCTGCCTTCGATTCGTTGGACAGAACAGTTCTCTGAGAATGTCTATTGAAGAAGGGTGTGCCTGAGAAGTTTATTAACATCCTAAAAGCCCTATACACAAACACCTCAGGCAGAGTGAGGGCATACAACCACCTTTCTCCACTATTCCATTCGAGCAGTGGGGTTAGGCAGGGTTGCCCAATCTCACCATTCCTCTTCAACTTTGCCATCGATGACATTCTGGAAACAGCTCTGACGGATGTAAGTAATGGTGGTGTGGATCTGTTGCCTGGAGAAAGACTTCTCGACCTTGAGTATGCGGATGATATTGTCTTACTGTGCGAGAATGCCCAAGCTATGCAATCCGCACTTAATCAGTTGGCAATCAGTGTCCGTAGGTATGGTATGTGCTTTGCACCTTCGAAGTGCAAAGTACTTCTACAAGACTGGCAGGATTCTAATCCTGTACTCACTCTGGATGGTGAGCAGATTGAAGTAGTCGAGAAGTTCGTGTATCTAGGTAGCTGCATAAGTGCTGGTGGTGGTGTGAGCGATGAGATCAATGCACGTATAGTGAAAGCCAGAGCGGCTTATGCCAATCTGGGCCATCTTTGGCGCCTTCATGATGTTAGTCTGGCTGTAAAAGGTCGGATCTACAACGCGACGGTGAGAGCAGTTTTGCTCTATGCTTGTGAAACCTGGCCTCTCCGAGTTGAGGATGTTAGACGACTCTCTGTGTTCGATCATCGCTGTCTCCGAAGGATTGCTGGCATCCAGTGGCAACACCATGTCAATAATGCAGAGGTTCGACATCGAGTGTTCGGTCACAGAGACGATAATGAAATTGGTGTCACCATTTTGAAACACCGACTTCGGTGGCTTGGACATGTTCTACGAATGTTGCCCAGAGAATTCCTCGTCGTGCATTATTTGCCGACTCTGGGACTGGTTGGAAAAAGCGGAGAGGTGGTCAGTATATGACATGGTGTCGTGGTATGAAAGAAAGCTGCAAAGGGCTGGCTTCTGTTGGTCCTTCACGACTCCCTGGTTGGGGTCCGAGAGACGGTGTAACGCAGTGGCTAGAGACGTTATCAGATATGGCTAAGAATAGAAGCCAGTGGCGATCGTGCTGTAACCTCTTACTTTCTTCATAAAAAGTGGTTGTATCTTCCTTAACTGAAAGATCTCTTCTGATTATACCTTTCCGTTTCCCCCACCATTGTTCTCTCTCTCTCTTTTTTTTGTTTTATAATTCCCCACGTTCATTACTTTTTTTTCTCTTTTCTCCTTCTCTTCAAATTATCATTGTTTTGTGTGGCGCATATATATTTGGTGCCCCCCTGTACCAATATTTATGTGTTCAAGTAAATAAATAATAAATACTTGATCATGAACTAACATTGTTTAGAGTAAAAGCATCCAACTTGAAGAATTCGTACTCCCTACCATTGACAACCGACTTTCGACCAAACTCATCGAATATAAAAGTCGTATACAGACCAGCAAGTTTATTTGAACACCCAACTGGTCATGGACTGTACGTCTTATCACTGATAAATCATTTATCAGGTTTGAATTTATGCACTTGACTTTGAGTCACATTTTATACGTGTGAGTTAGTGATGCCAACTCGGTTGCCCAGACCAAAGCCGATGGAGCAGAGTTTGAACCTGAGACCTTAGCATTCGAAGGTTGAACGCTTAAATCATTAAGCAATCGCTCTTTCTTACCATTTAAGGAGAATAATAGAGCTTTGATATGATTTATTTACAGTAAGTAGAGAATTAATTTGTCGCTTCATATCTTTCTTTCTACCAACTCATTCTTTCCTCCTATATGCAATCCTTCTTTTACATTTTACTTACTTACTTACGCCTGTTACTCCTCGTGAAGGAGCATAGGCCGCTCACCAGCATTCTCCATACAACACTATCCTGGGCAATCCTTTCCACCTCTTTCCAGTTCTTATTCATCCCTTTCATATCCGCTTCTATTTCCCGACGTAATGTGTTGTTTGGCCTTCCACTTTTCCGCTTTCCTTCAGGATTCCAAGTTAGCGCTTGCTTCGTAATGCAGTTGGATGATTTCCTCAATGTGTGTCCTATCCATTTCCATCGTCTTTTCCTAATTTCCTCTTCAACTGGAAGCTGGTTGATTCTCTCCCACAAAAGGCTGTTGCTGATGGTATCCGACCAATGTTGAATGTTGAGTATCTTGCGTAGACAGCCATTGATAAATACTTGTACGTTCTTGATGGTGGTTGTTGTAGTTCTCCAAGTTTCAGCTCCGTACAATAGAACTAACTGCCTTGACGTTCGTATTGAAGATTCTGACTTTGATATTGGTTGAAAGTTGTTTTGAGTTCCATATGCTGTCCTTGCTTTTCCAATCCTCGCCTGTACGTCTGCATCTGAACCTCTTTGTTTGTCGACGATGCTTCCCAGGTATATGAAGGATTCTACATCTTCCAGAGTTTCACCATCAAGAGTGATTGGATTGCTGTTCTTTTACATATTACCACCAATAAATTAACTACTTCTATGAATCCGATGTTCATCTTGTTGTGTTAATGAGGTATGGCAACTTGGACCGATGTATATATGTGCCTGGTTCTGCATTATAGTTGACTAACTGACTGACTGAATTAATATTTTCATAGTTTTGTTATTGTAAATAAGTATAAAACAATCTAATTCATCTCATTATATACATCTATGCAAAATATATTATTCAATAAAAATAAGTTTTACAACCTCATAAACTAGAAGATGTATCTGAAATGTGACTATGCCCTATATCTATGTGTTAAAATAAATAAATAAATTATTTATTTATTTTAACACGTAGGTATTGGTACAAGGAGGCACCAAATACATATGCACCACACTAATCTCAATTGATTTGTGTGAGGGCTGTGATACTGCCCGGGTGCCCAAACCGAACCAGGTGGTTTTCTTAGGGGGCCACACTCTGAGCCTTCGACCTGAACGTCTGACCCACAAGGCAGTGGAGCATCGTGAGGAGACGCAGTCCCATGGTAGCCGGTGACCAACAATTGGTTCATACGCCATTTTTTCCTTCAGGATACTAGAGCTAGCCCATGTGCACCATTGGTTTGGGATCCGGTTATAGCCGGCGCCGTACATTCGCTTTTCGTCCTCTCATATTCGTAAACAATACCCGTGTTGCGAGAAGGCAATGAGTAGGACTTCCCTGGCAGAGGCTATATACGCGTGGCCATGTGAAAGCCTTTCGAGGAGAGCGGACTCTCGTCATTGTCGGCCGTACTAGGGCATTTGGGTATGCCCCCAAATGCCCTGGAAATGTGACTAACCATCCCATTGTTATTTATGGAATATATTTGGATGCTTGTGATAACCAGAGTCAAAAAATCTTGTCACTTAAACCAAATGATATAAAAATGGAAATGAATTTACTTGTATCCACTCTAATGATGAATAATAATCTGAAGGGTTTTATTAAAAGAGCAAAATGATATCATTAAAAAAAAAAGTTAAGCAAAAAGAACGGATTAACACAGTGGTGATTCCATATCGTAAGAGTATTTCAGAAGAGATCAGAAGGATTCTAACTCTTCAAAATATAAGAGTATCCTTTCGAACAAACAATACTCTGAGATCAAAACTAGTACGAATCAAAGATCAAATACTCAAGGATGAACAACAGAATTGTATTTATGAAATCAAATGTAATGATTGTAATGCAACGTATGTAGGTGAAACATCAAGGCAATTGAATGTAAGAGTGAAGGAACACAAACTGTGCTTAAAGCACATTCCTAAATCCTCAGATGATGTGAAAAGACTTGAGAACAAATGAGCAATAGTATTACACTCGATTAAATTGGGTCATACAGTTGATTTTAATGGCGTAAGAATAATTCAAAAAGACTTTAATTCTTACAAAGAACGACTAACAGCCGAAGCCCTACATATATAGGCAAATTTAAACAGTATTAATAGGAGAAATGGAATACAATTAGCTGTCCCAATGGCAACTAATAATTAATAGGTAAACCTGAAGTCCTTATTACATTCTATCTATCTATATCATATTAACTCATCAATAGATAATACATTCAATGGTTCAAATCAGTTATCTTATCTGAATATGTTAAACAATTGACGGGAACATTAAAAATAACACAAACTTTCAATTACAAATATATTCTTCCTCTTTGAATTCAGTCTTTTATCTTGTTTATTTATCTTCGTTTAATGCATGCTGTAACATTTTGATTCATATCATATATAAGATGATATGTTTTCCTTATATACACATACCGAAGTCAATATATATGTATAGTTGAATGAAATTTCTTCACACATCACTTACATAGACAGACAATCTATTATCTTAACACTTTTCGTTTTCACAATACTTTTCTCTTACACACTTATGTAAATACCTACTTCAAACAGGGTTCACGTTGATTGGATGTCTTATTCAGTATACATACAGTAAACCAGAGAAGGATGTACCCCTATTTATATTAGATAATTTTGTTGTTTGATTATATTTTCCTTGAAAAAGCTTGGACCAGATTGCCAGATGAAACGTTGGATTTACTTCAAATTCATTTGCTAAGATTTTACAAAGACAACATTTTTCATCTTTAATGTCTCACATTAACTCGGCATCAAAAATATTGTGAAACTATTCGTTCAAATTTAGACGATAATTTTTATTTATTACACTTGTCATATACTTTAAAATGAACATATTGGAATAGTTATAGATGTTAGCTTTCTATACCCCAAGTTCCCATTTTTGGGGAAGCCGCTATAGTAAACTTTGGGGAAATGGCACAAAAAACCCCAAAATTTCCCCAGACCTGGGGAAGTTCCGCAAAGTTGGGAGCTTGGGACATTGAAATTAAAATATCTATTCCATTTTGTTAGTTGAAAGTTAAAGAAAGAAATAAACTAATGATTCATAATTCTATTAGATTAGCGTGATCATCATGTAAAGATTTAGTTGTACCAATAATTATTACATCAGACTTTTATTTATTCTACTATTGAATTAGTTGTTCTATTTTAGAATCCATTATATATGTAGTTTACTTTACAAAACTTACCTACCTATACTGAACAGGATGATCAATTTGACCAAATTCTGAAAATATACTTAATATATACACATAGTGTATGTGTATGTGTGTATATCCATTCTTTGCAATCCATTAACCATAAAATACTTGATTAGTTGTATAGTTAATTGTTTATACGTTTTAATAGATGGATCATTTATATGATGATGGATTCATTTATTATTTTTTTTTAAAGTCTTGTTCATTATTAATTAATTTGTGATCAATTGATATATTTTGATGATTACTTACTTACTTACGCCTGTTACTCCTCGTGAAGGAACATAGGCCGCTCACCAGCATTCTCCATCCAACCCTTGTCTTGGGCAATCCGTTGCATATCTGCTTCTTTTCAGGATTCCGAGTTAGGGCTTACCTATAGTTCTTCTAGAGTTACTATCGGTCCCAAGCCCGAGTAAAGGAGGAGGATTGGGCATGAGGTCGGCAACCCCATCCCGTAGAAAAAAATCTTGCTAAAAAAACGTCACCTGGATTAAACCTTCTCTTTATACATTGCATAAAGTATCTGTCGGCTAATGAAAAAGTAGGTTGGAGGAAAGGAAGGGTTCACAAATTCATTGATAATTAGTTTGAGTTATGTCGGTAGGCGTGTGGAACACTTCATTAGGGTCCTCGCCATTATTATAATCATTGGTTGGAGATGTTGGTTAACTTGACTTAGAATCAATCACAATAGCTCAGACTGATTTACTCTTTTTGTTCCTTTAGATTTGGAGTTTCAGGATATTTTTGTAATCTTTATTTTGCGAATTCGTTCTTCTTGAATCATATTGTCTACTCTTAATGCTTCCTAATATCACCGATTCTTCTGCTACTCGTTGTAGTGTACCAACCTAAATTGATGCACATATATGCTAAGTTCTACGTTTCTTATGATTGACTGACGTTTGTAATACTACCAGCTGTATAAAAAAATGGTATACAGTAGTAACTTACTTTTAATTGGTCAGTTGGGTAGAATCTAGTAACCATCAATATCTAAGTTATGATTTAAAGTAGAGTAATTGAAAATGTAATCAGTCACTGAATTACATTGTTGCATATAATCAGTCAGTCAGTAACAACGTGGAACTTCGTACGTACGTACATCAGTTCTAGTTGCCATACCACATTAGCACAGAGATTCAGTTATCGATTCAAATCCCGTAGTGGTAGAGGTAGTGAAAGTACAAGTAGTGACAGGGAACATTAAGGTTTGATGATGTTATTTAAGGAGTATAATCCACTGGAATAGATTTGGAAAGAAAATAAAACACATGAAGAATTCAGAAGATTAGAATTTGGGGGAACACAAAGAGTGAATGCACCTGCACCATTGCAAACGATTTTGAGCCATGTCATTCAAGATCTCTAACCATCGGTTGCTATAATCTCGCGGACCCAAACCAGGTAGTCTATACCTACCAACATGGCTCAGTCCACTTGTCAGTGACTTCATGAATTTGTGTCATGTTTTGGTCTGGCCGCCCCTAGCTTTCTTCCAACCTACTCCTATACTTCTTTGGTACTCCTTTCGATGACAAACACTGCCATAGAACCTCACGATCAACAGAGTCAAATGCCGCCTTAAGGTCGGGAAATACTACTATTGTGGGGCGTCTAAATGTGTGTCTATGTTCTAGGATCTGACGTAGTGTGAATATTTGGTCTATATAACCACGTCTAGGTCAAAAACCAGCCTGGTTTTCTCTTGTCTGCTCTTCACGAGCTTTGGTTAGGCGTCGAAGTATTATTGAAGCTAATATTTTAGATACTATATTAGCCAAATTAATTCCTCTGTGATTGTCACAGGAGGACTTTTGTCCTTTCTTATAAACTGGCACAATCAGTGATTGATACCAGTCAGATGGGATTATGTCCAGTTCAGTTAATAGTATATATATTCACCTATATGATATAAATCACAATTATCTCAAATATTATAAGTTGTTATATTTTATCATGTTAAATAAATCTTGTTTTTGTATGTATACCTATGATGGTTATGTTTTTTTCATATTTATAGGAATTGGAAGCAGCTATTGAATGTAATCGATTATGTCATAGAATGTTAAGTGAACAATTGGAATTAGATGATTTTGATGCATTATTACGTGAAGCGGATAATTTAATTAGTTCTAGATTAGGAAAAATTACTGTACATGTATTTTGGGAATTAACATATGATCTTGTTAAAAATTACTGTTACAATGATGCTACTAACAGGTTAGAAAATATTTTATTATCATTTTATAACTAAGTGTTATGTTAAATTATCCATACTATTTTAACCGTTTAAAATATTGATATATATATATATATGAAGAATATTCTTTACAATTGATGTTCATCAGGTTTTACTAGTCGATATCCAAATTTTGAGTAATCTACATATTTATTTATTTAAACATATAAACATTAGTACAAGGTGGCATCAAACAGATATGCACCACATAAATCATTCAATTTGTGTGAGGGCTGGGATAATACCCGGGTGGTCAAACCAAAGCAGGTGGTTTTCTTAGAGGGTTACACTCCGAGCCTTCGACCTGAACGTCTGATCCACAAGGCAGTGGAGCATCGTAAGGAGATGCAGTCCAGTCCCATGATAGCCGGTGAACAACCATTGGTTCATACGCCATTTGTTCCTTCAGGATACTACAGCTAGCCCATGTGCACCATTTGTTTGGATTCGGTTAAAGCGCCGGACATTCGCTTTTCGTCCTCTCATTTTCGTAAACAACATCTGTGGTGCGAGAAGGCACTGAGTATGACTTCCTTGGCAGAGGCTATATACGCGTGGCCATGTGAGAGCATTTCGAGAGGGAGAGCGGACTCTCCTCATTGTCGGCCGTACCATGGCATTTGGGTAAATTAGATAACTCTAGACGCTTTATGTAATTAAGCGAAAAATCTAGAGTCAACCGAAATACAAGTATAAAACATGTATTAACCAGTATATATATATATATATATGTTTATCACTCTCATTTATTCTACAAAGAATATTCTTAAAAATCAAATCATTATTTAAAATTTTTAATATGTGCAACTAGATTTGTACCAACAAATTTCACATTAACTGAAGTATTAGAACGTGAGAAACCGCCAACAGTTGAAGCTCAATATGTTTGGGGTAGTCGTTCGTTAAATACATGCTTTGAAACTATATTTAAATTATATCGTGGTTTTGTTGGTGCACCTCATTTTTCTGCTATCTGTCGTTTATTGGGTTATCGAGGTTTATTTGTTGTAACAGCTGAAGTAATGAAAGTTGCTCAATCATTGGTATGTTTAATTTGTTCCTTATTTTAAATAATAATTTCTTTTTGTGTATTAATTTAATGATTTATTTTATTATTTCTATCTCTTTGGAATATTCATGTATATCACTTGATTGTCTGTGAAAAGTCACATCAGTTTCATTTTTGTTTCATAATGAATATTGTTGTTTATCTTGTGCTGCTGACTAACTGACTATTTGCTTTTATTTGTTATACATCAGTAGTATATATATATTTTTGATTGTTAGTATGAATGAATAGAATACGATGAATAGATGATATACCGGAGACCGAGCTCATGATTTAAGCCGTTAACTAAGCTATCAAAAAACAAGACAGATGCGTAAGAGGATAAATGTCTAATGAGATAACATACTTGTAAACATAATGTAGAACGCAAAACTAAACACGATTATACATCAAATGGGATTAAGACATACAGATTTCATAGATTATTTGAATGCTATGGAAATTAAAATATGAGTGTTAGATTTAATTCTTTCACTGTCATATTACTGTTATCGATTTGAATTTGAATGATATGAATTGTCTGCGCAACTAATCTATTTGTTCTTCAAAAAGTATTCACCTATTTACAATGTCTTTCTCGTAAGGTTGTTAGTGTTTTATCATTAGTGTGTTTACAAAGCATTGTTTGTGTTTATCATCTCATGAGGTTATTCAATACTAATTTGAATGGTTTTTGGAGATGTTAGTCCATAGAAGTAAAGATGCATTCTTTGTGCTCCCCCCCTCAACTCTTGCGTAATCTATTATTATTGAATAAAAATCCTTTCTTAGGTTTATATAATTATTTGTCACGAACTTCAGTAACAGAGATTCTCATTAAATTTTTTTGATGGACGAAGATAATCTTCAGACGTTAATGAATGGGCATGTGCCCCCGAATGCCCTGGTACAGCCGAGAGTGAGGAGAGTCCGCTCTCCCTCTCCAAATGCTCTCACAGGGCCATGCGTATATAGCCTCTGCCAGGGAAGTCCTACTCACTGTCTTCTCGTGGCGAGGGTGTTGTTTACGAAAATGAGAGGACGAAAAGCGAATGTCCGGCGCTTTAACCGGATCTAAAACCAATGGTGCACATGGGCTAGCTCCAATATCCTGCGGGAACAAATGGAGTATGAACCAATGGTTGGTCATCGGCTACCATGGGACTGCATCTCCTTACGATGCTCCACTGCCTTGTGGGTCAGACGTTCAGGTCAAAGGCTCGGGGTGTGGCCCCTTAAGAAAACCACTTGTTTCGGTTTGGGCACTCGGACAGTATCACAACCCTCACACTTATCAAATGAGATTTGTGTGGCACATATGTATTTGGTGCCTCCTTGTACCAGTATCTATGTGTTAAAATAAATAATAATAAATAAATATTACAGGATCAGAATCTATCGAATAATGAACATTTGATTGATACATACACAACCATATATTTAAAGCACAACTCATTTTCTCAAGTCTGCTGTTCCCTAGCTCCAGTTAATTTCAGAATAATTATTGAAAGTAAGATTTTTAAAAATCCTATTAGTGAAACTAGTTCTTCGGTTACTACAAAATGTTAAACGGCGTTTTATATCTAGTTCATCGATCCGTCATACTCAATTTCATATCGTATCATATCTTTTTTGTTGACTATTCCCCTAATTATATTTCTTACAATGTTTTTTTTTCTCTATCCTATTAGTTAAATCAAACATTACGTGATTATGTTTGCCGATTAGTACTTCTTATGCCTCAATCATTGACAATTCCATCAGACAAAGCAGAATCTGACGCTGTATTCTCAGCTTTATATACTCAATTACATCAAATCTATAAATATACAGATTTAAGAACGAATGTATTTCAAAATTTTCGTGAATTTGGAAATATTCTTATTTGTTGCTTACAATTAGAAAAGAATTTAGTAAGTTTATTCAAATAATATAATTGAGAATTTTCATAGAAATAAAATGTTACAGAAATTGGATGTTAGTATTCCCCCCGTTCAAGTAAAACAATCTAACTACAAGTGAATTGAATAGTTTGCTCTATTAATGATAATTAAAATTAAAGTCAATTATATGACGAGGGGTTTAACTTCACACTTGTAAAACCTAAATATACAATTACGATTTAACTCAGGATTAAAACAATGGCTCAATAGTGAAGGCGTTCGGTTTTTAGTCACTAAATTATAAGTTTGAACCCCGTCCCACTTTCAATTTGAGCAACTGATAGTGTAATTAGCTCTCATACTTAAAGTGTGGTTCTAGGTCAAATACGGAAATTTAAACCTGGCAGGTGATTTATTACTAATAATAAGTATAGGCTGAATTGATTCCTGATATTATAGAATATCAGAGGATTATCTTTTTTTTTTTAAGTGAATGCCATTAGTATTAAATTATTCCTCACGTTTATATCCAGCTAGTTAGAACTAATTGATCGTTAAAATAATCTTGTTGATCTCTTCAACTGAATTTAGCTACTGGGTTAAAGAAAATGACTCCATTCAGCCGATTACGTAAGTCTTTTAATACCATGTGAAATAGAAGATTCGCCGGTGAAGGTTGCGATAAACAAAGAGTAAAAAAATCGTTAGAACGTATACTAGGATGTTTTAAATTACCGATCTTTAATTAATATGAAGAAGTGAAAATTTTAATAATCATAATTGTAGGATTTTATAGAAAAAGGAAAAGGTAAGTGAAGACATGTCATAAAAATACTATACTGCAATACTACTCTGACTGTTATCTATTGTAAGTTAAAGACTGAACTTATTTTTTTAGCTGGGGTGATGGATGATGATTTATGTTTCTAAAAGAAAGACTAATAAAATATGAGATTTAGCCCCTTAGTTGTTTATTAACACACACACACATATATAGGGGAGGAGCAGTTGTGATCTGCAAGTAAGTGGTTGAACACATATTAAAATGGCTAAGGAAACAAATCGACTCCGATGATCAAATAAGCTCACAATATAGACAGATATTTTCCGCAATCGATAAATATTCGGTTGATACGGGTCATAGGGTTGATATCAAGTCAGCCTCTATAGTGTTATAAAAATGTTTTCAGCCTTGTATACTAAGGTCTCTTAAAGTCTTATCTATGGAAAAACTGGATTCGCTTTTCTGTTTAGAAACATTTCGTTCTTACTCTTAACCTACCCTGATTTATTATCAGAGTAGTGAGTTTCACATTGTTTACTTTTTATTATTTTTGTTTCTGTATACCTTCTTTCTTGTTTAGTTTTGACTTTTTTTTAGTTTTCATACAGAATTTCTTAACAAGTATAAGTGTAATCAGATTATTTGAAACATAATTCTGATCATCTTTATCTTCTCATTGCATCATCCTAATGAAATATGATTAACTACCTTGTAAAGTTTACCGAAATGCATAACATATATATGTATATGACCGAAAATCAGTAAGGTTAAACCTGCTGCTACTATGATGAATACTATTGAATGTTTATCAAAGGAAACCTCCTTAATCAACTTTTCTTTGTTTGTTTAAGTAATAATTAATTTTCTATTCTTACTATTCTGAGCTGTTTTATGTTCTAGTCCATTGAAGATTCATGTGATCTTCGTCATGCAGGGCCTTTTATTGGACAAATGCCAAGACAGTTCTTTCCTCCTATTCCATCTCATGAGGGTAAGTTGTTCATAATTCTTATATTTAATTATATAAATTTTAAGTTTTTATTTCCTTCTCAATCTATTTGTCTAAAAAAAACTGACAATTTTTTTCTTATAAACACAATTATAAACAAAGATGGATAGTGGCTAGCAGTGGGATGGCGATGGCGTTTGAAGCGTACGGTACTGGGTTCGAGTCCCAGAGTGAACATCAACTCTGAGATGCAGTTACATGCAGCTGGCGAGTCCCAAATAGGACGAAACGCGCGTCCTGGATTCCACTGCTAGCCACTATCCATCTTTGCTTATAATGCTTGTAAATTAAGGCAATACGCACAGTATGCACATATGCCAATAAGAGATTGATCAATTGCAATCCTAAAAATCAATCGGAAGATTCAAGTAAAACAATATCAAGTGAATTAAACATAATTATGTTTCTAGAGGTATAAATATAAATTGTAAAAGTTGATAAAATTTGAACTTATCATAATTATATGAATTTATACTATTTCTCTACTGTCGTTATTTTTGATATATTCAAATATTTCAATGGTTGAGATCATAAATCAATTGAAGCTAGAATACCGTGGAAAACCTGGAAGAACTGGATGACCGTTTCGTCCTATTTCGGGACTCCTCAGCAGTGCGTATTCACGATGTCTCGTTCAACTTCGTGGATTGGTTAAAGTTAGACATTAACACCGTTGGATGCCGGCCTGCTCAGTGGTCTATAGGTTAAGAGCTTGCGCGTGAGACTGATGGGTCCTGGGTTTAAATCTCGCGAGGCGGGATCGTGGGTGCCTACTACTGAAGAGTCTCATACTAGGACGAAACAGCCTTTCAGTGTTTCCAGGTTTTTCCATGGTGGTCTAGCTTCAATTGACTTATGATCTCAACGATTGAAATTGCTATAATATCCACAAAAACCCTTCTGATATTGAAATATAACATTTTAGTTCATTTGCAAAATTTAAAATCATCATTATTTCTTTCATCTTACCATGAAACTAGGTTGCTTAGGAAAAAACAAAGAAACAGTACCGAATTTCTTAAACGGGGTCTTTTTTAATAATCAATATTCTATTTATAAATAAATAATATATTTGTAATATCCCAATGAGTAGAATTAAACTTGGATTAATTTTAATTTGATTATTTATTCTCTGAAGAAGTGACTTACAGTAAGCCACGAAACATCAGAAAATCTAATTTTCTACTCATTGGAATATTACAAATATATTATTTATTTATAACAATCAACCCAATGCTCAATTTATTCGAAATTATCAAATCAAACCTTGGTAATGATACCTACAAATGTTCTATTTATTTCAAATTATTTACTCATTACTTAGATTTCTTAATTAGCTTTAAAAAGTAGTTTATTACTTATCAACTCAAGAAATTCTATAGATTTCCCATATTTGTTTAAAATGTTTTTTACTTAGTAAAGGGAAACAGAAGCAAAACTGAACATATGTCACTTAAATTGTATAAAATCAATTTTTTAGAGTTATCTTGTTAGTGGCAGCCAATTTACCTGGTACGGCTGAGAGTGGAGAGAGTCAGCTCTCCCTCTCGAAATGCTCTCACATGGCCACCTTCATACAACCACTGCCAAAGAAGTCCTACTCGCACCACGGGTGTTGTTTACGAATTTGAGAAAAAGAAGAAGAAAATGTCCGACGCTTTAACCAAGTGAGTGGACACAGAGAGTTCATCTAGGGGAGTTGGAAAACCCTGATTTCAAACCAATAGTGTATATGGACTCCAGTATCCTGAAGGAATAAATGGTGTATAAATCTATTGTTAGTCACCGACTATCGTGGGACTGCATCTCCTTACGTTGCCCCATTATTACCTTGTGGATTAGACCTTTAGGTCAAAGGCTCTGGGTGTGACCCCATGAGATAACCACCTGCTTCGGTTTGGGCACCTAGATACTATTCCAACTCTCACACAAATTGAATGATTGATATGGCGTATATCTATTTAATTCCTCTTTGTACCATTGTGTATGTGTTTACATAAATCATGTTATTGAGTTAGAGAAAATTTCTTAATTTTAATGGTATAGAATTTTGTAAACATTTATTGATATATCAACTTTAATAACAGGTTACTATGCAATTGAAAAATGTATTATTTAATTAAATTTTTTTTTGTTGTTGTTGATTTATTTAAACTTGAATTCAATTTTCAATAAACAATTTCTAACATAAATCACAATCACCTTATTTGTTTTTTTAGTAGAAAACAAAAAAAAAATAAATCGAAAATAATAACAGATATCATCATCATTATAATAAAGTATGTTGTTATGTAATAGAAAAAGAAAAAAAAATAATAAAACCCTGTAAAATCCCATTTCCTTTTTTTCCCCATGGTGTTGATATTTTCAAAGGTTTAATTGGACTGTGTTTTTTTTTGTTGTTGTTGTTGTTGATACATAGGCTTTGTATATTGATGAGCAATTGTCACATTCGATGACGACTAGAATAGGAATACAGAATATATATATATATATATATATATATATATATATATATATATATATATATATATAATATTATTTTACAAAGAAGTTTTACTTCCTTCATATGATTAGTATCTGATAAGTGAGAAGGATATACCTAATGAATTTGGAAAATCCTGACTTGTGTGTATAGTGCATTTCTTGATATTATTCTATGATACCAAAATTGTTCCTATATGATAATAATAATAATAATAATAATAATAATAATAATAATAATAATAATGAGATTTACATATAATGTGCCTCAGAAGATAGTAAATATCATACAAAATTCCTATGATGGATTAAACTGAGAAATCATGCATGGAGGACGGTTGAAAAACTCCTTCGAAGTAAAGACCGGTGTCAGGCAAGATTGCTTACTCTTACCCTTTCTCTTTCTCCTGGTGATCGACTGGATCATGAAGACGTCAGCATCTAAGGAGAAGAATGCGATACAGTGGGTAGCTAGGATGAAGCTGGACGATCTAGACTTCGTAGATGATCTGGCTCTTCTATCGCAAAAGCAACAACAAATGCAGGAAAAGACGACCAGTGTGGCAGCAACCTCAGCAGCAGTAGGTCTCAATATACACAGGGAAAAGCAAGATTTTCCGATACAACACAGCACGCATCAATCCAATCACAATTGACAGAGAAGATTTGGAAGATGTACAAACGTTTACATATTTGGGTAGCATCATCGATGAACACAGTGGATCTGATGCAGATGTAAAAGCGCGGATCGGCAAAGCAAGAGCAGCATATTTACAACTGAAGAACATCTGCAACTCAAAAGAGTTACCAACCAACACCAAGGTCAGAATTTTCAATGCAAATGTGAAGACAGTTTTACTGTATGGGGCGGAAACCTGGAGAACTACGAAAGCGATCATCCAAAAGATACAGGTGTTTATTAACAGTTGTCTACGCAAAATACTTAGGATCGTTGGCCAGACACTATCAACGACAAATTACTGTGGGAAAGAACAAACCAGGTCCCAGCAGACAAAAAAAATCAGGAAGAAGCGCTGGAAGTGGATAGGACACACATTGAGGAAAGCACCCAACTGTATCACAAGATAAGCCCTCACATGGAATCCTCAAGGCCGAAGGAGGAGAGGAAGACCAAAGAATACATTACGCCGAGTAATGGAGATTGATATGAGAAAAATGAACAAGAATTGGATGGAACTTGAAAAGAAGGCCCAGGACAGAGTGGGTTGGAGAATGCTGGTCGACAGCTTACTTATTGTTGCTAATGTTATTCTTTTTTTTCTGTTACTCATCATAGAAGGATTGAAAGGTAAATCAATTAATGAATTAAGACGTGAACGTGATATTCAATATAAAGAATTACAAAAGAAACAAGAATCAATGAATATTGTACTAGTTGTATCACGTATTGGTACTGAAGATGTAAGTTAATTAAATCTTCTTATACAAATCTACTTGATCTATATGTATGGCTGTATGTTTTAACATAGAGTTACCCTTTTTTGTTCATTTTCTTAATTGTTTCATTGTTTATATTGATTTAATTGTGCAAACTAATCTGTAGAGTATTATACTGGATTAATGTTATAAGTCAATTTGAGATAGGTGATATTTTGGAAGAATTAGTCATGATCATCATCATCATCATAAGGTCTATCTCTCAATATGTATCAATCTAAATTGACAGATTTTATATCAGCATAGAAATACAGTGAAAACTGACAAAGTATAGAACAAAGGTGAAGTATTAATTCGATCTACAAGGGAAAGTGAAACAAGTAATATATATATATATATATATATATATATATATATATATATATATATATATATATGATTAAACTAAATTTCTCATAACTAAGAGTGGTTGGAATATATATATTACGTAATCCCAACCATTGCCAACCTCGACGCATGATGCTGGTTGAACTAGTCGTAGTTTGGAAAAAACCCAGGAGCAACCGAAACTACCGGTAGCAGCCATTCATATTACCCATTGAATGTCAGTCTGAGTCATGTTAGTAGGTGCAGACTGCCTAGTCGGAGTCATCATGATAATCGGAATCACTACCATATCACACAACTTTAAGTCAATCGCAATAGACCATGTGCATTAACTGGAAAATGTATAATCGATCCTATATGGATAATCGTAGCTAAATATATGGGATATTATGCAAAGTTGGGATTGTAAGGGATTGAGTCTGTATTTAAATGCCCTGAAGTAATGTAGTTACTCTTCTACGGTTACTGCCAGTCTTAAACTTGGGTAAAGGAAGAGGGTTGACATGGGATCAATAGCCCCATCCCGTAGAATACAACTTTTCTAAAAAAAATACTAACCATAATAAACAAATTAAACTCTTCCCTGACACTTAAAGGATCTTCATTCACAGGAATTATGATGCCTCATGGCGAAACCCGAGATTATTCGGAAGTCATGGGGCCGATGCCTCTTCTTACAACCGGAACAACAGTTTTTATAGGTATATCGAATGTTCACACAGTGTGGGAGACCGTGTAGACCAACCAAATAGATGAGAAGATAGAAATTGACGGTGCTCGAAATAAATGAAACCTATTGGACAACAGCTGAACCGAAAAGGATAGATTCATGAGAGATGCTGTGTACTCTGGTCACGAAGAGCAAAATGCTCTACACACTCAGGAAGTTGCTCTAATACTATACACAGAAGCACGTTAAGAACTTATAGGTTGGGAATCTCATGAACCCAGAATAATCAAATCATTTTTCAAAACAAAGAAGAAGGGAATCACAATGAGTGTTATCCAATGTTGTGTACCCACCAATGATAGCAATGATGACAATAGAGGCATCACACTACAATCGGTACCAGGACTTTGCAGACGACGTAGTTCTATTACAAAGACACGAACAAATGCAAGTCAAGACAAACAGAGTAGCAGCAGCCTCTGCATCAGTAGGACTCTACATACACATGTGAAAAGCAAGATCCTCAAATACAACACGGAGAACACTAACCCGGTCGCATTAGATAAGGAAGCTCTAGAACAAGTGGAGTCTTTCACGTACCTGGGAATCATCATCGATTAACAAGAAGGATTCGGTGAAGACGTAAAGGCAAGGATCGGTAAAGTAAGGAGAGCATTCCTACAGTCGAAGAACATACGGAACCCAAAACAACTGTCAACCAATATCAAAGTCAGAATCTTCATTACGAACGTCGAGACAGTTCTACTGTACGGAGCTGAAGCTTGGAGAACTATCACAACCATAATCAAGAATTTAAAAGTATTTATAAACAACTATCTGCTCAAGATACCCAATGTTTTTTGACCGGATACCATCAGCAACAGCCTTTTGTGGGAGAGAACAAACCAGCTTCCAGTTAAAAGGGAAATTAGGAAAAGATAATAGAAGTGGATAGGACATAAATTAAGGAAATCGTCAAACTGCATCGCGAGGCAAGCACTAACTTGGAATCCTGAAGGGAAACGGAAAACAGGTAGGCTAAAGAACATACTGCGTTGAAAACTGTAAGCAGACATGAAAAAAGATGAATGGCAACCGGAAAGAACTGGAATGAATTGTCCATGACAGAGTTGGATGGAGAATATTAGTGAGCGAGCGGCCTATAAATATGTACGTAAGTAAGTGTGGTTGCCGCAAAACCTGGATGTTAGGAGTGCAATTTCCCATAGAGTCACTCTTGAGCACCACTGAAGAAGTCGCTACCTAAAATAAAACAGTTACCTATATTTCAGTGATTCTCCGACAGGTATTAGCCCGTGATAAAAACCATCTACACACTAGGCAAAACTCCATAAAACACAAATATACAATTTCTAGTGTTAAAAAACAAAGATGACAAGAAATGAATTTAAACACATGATATACTGGTCGAAATAGTAATTAAAGGTAGTTTTCAGGAAATTCTGGACATAGGTTTCGTGCTGTATAGCACTCATTAGCAAGGTGTGTCTGTAATCTTGAGGGAACCGATGCTCTCTGACGGATTCGATTTCGTGTCAACCAGTTTCACGGGTAGTTCAACTTACCAAGGTAAAGCTTGATTTATTTTCATGTTGAATTTACTCCTTTTAATTATAATCTCTCTCTCTTTTCTTCTATTCACACAGCAATTGTCCTTAGCTAAAGAGAATGAAATATTAACGAAAGAGAGACTTTGTTCTGGTTTAACACTATTCGAATTTGTAAGTTATGATTCTTATAATCGTAACAACAGCGATGATTTTCAAATATAATTTCCGACCGTATAATGAATCGTTTGTTATTGAATGCTTCAATTTATAAAACGTATTTCAATGGATGGCTCTGTAATATAGGACATACAAGCATAGTTTACCGAAATCTATGGTGTACGTAGTTGCTTTGCCCCTCAGGCTACTTAATAACTAATTAGGACTTGTGAAAAAACAGTTACATATTTGAGATGTTTGTAGGATTGCTAAAAATCTATGTATACTAGATGCAATAATTGTACGGAAGGACAGTAGTTGTCTCAGCTACAACATAGGACTAGACATATATATGCATTGGTCCAAGTTGCCATACCTCATTAGCATAACAAGATGAACACCAAATTCATAGACGTAGTTATTTCAATGACAGTAGCTCTCTAGCTTACTTCGATTTCTCTATAGATTGCGAATTCATAATTAAAAATGAACATTTTTTTATTGTTTTAATTTCTCACGATGTTTTTTTTCCGCATTTTCTACTTTGCATGAATATAGGTTCTTAATAAAATTAAGACTTTTCTTCATGAAGAAGATTCCGATGGAAATACTTGGGATCGTCTTTCTAATATTGCCAAACGTAATTCTATGTGTAATGGAACTACTACACATTATAATAATGATATACTTGGTTTAGAAAGTTATACACACTTTCATCGTCTATGGTCTGCTATTCAATTAGTATTCTGTACACCATTTGGACAAAATGAATATACAATTGAAGAAATGTTTGGTGAAGGATTAAATTGGGCTGGATGTGCAATTATATTGTTATTAGGTCAACAACGTCAATTTGAAGCACTTGATTTTGGTAGTCTTATTTTACGACTACAACGAATCGATAAAAAAGATGCGACGCCAATGGGAGTTGTAAGTTTTATTATTATTATTATTATTTAAATAATAAGTTCTACCTATGAACATGTTGTTATGCTTATCCGTTTTAATTTGACATATATTAATTGTTACTCTCGTAAATTATTCCACTGTTTTGATAGTTTAATGGTTAAGTAATTTACAGAGATTAAATTTAGATTGGAACGATTTCAATTTTACTAAAGAGCTATAAGTACTTGATAGAGTTTTGTTCTCTGAGCTGAATGGTTTGTTCGTGAAGCTTTCATCGTTTGTCTGAATGACATCAGCAGCAGCACAGACTGCAGGTAGAAGTGAAGTGTTCGAACTTTTCCACATGTGGTTCATAACTTGTCCTGTAGACCTCGATGTTGATTGGTTCTTGCTGACCTTAAACAAGTCATTGTTTACATCTTTGGTTTGAATTTCTTTCCTATGTGTTTGTGTATAGTTTTCCTGATTGGTTGATAAATTGAATAGATTTCAATGTGCTTGTTGATTGCTGATTGACCTGAGTGCCAAGCTTCTAAAGATTCTTTGATGTTTTTCGAATTGCCTCTATGAGTACTGTAACTTGGTGACTCAGCATACTAGAGTTCATCAGTCGATGTAAAAGTTATTTTATTTATTTTAAATTAAAAGTTTCTCATTTTTTTTACCATTTAGTCTCTGGAACGAATGGCTGCTCGTTTAAGTCGTTTCTCAGTACTCAATCGTCAAATATTTTCTACATTAAATATATATCTTCATCCTGTCGATCGACTGGATGAATCAAGTGTTCGTGTTCGACAATTTCCTATACCTACCTGGTCCAAATCGTAAACCATTATCGTTTTTTAAACCATGTAATTTGTTCCCCTTTCCAATTTTATTGGTATAACGCTTATTGTATTATAAACCACCTCAATTAATGGCATTTTATAGAGTTCCTTTGGTCCTTTTTATATTTTGATCATACCGGTAATTTGTTTTAGTTGATTTACTGCTTTCCTGGTGTTTTTTGCTTTCTTATCTGTCTTTTTCACCTTTTCTAGAGAAATGTGTATAAATACATTCATAAGGAAAATACAGTTAACTTATGGTGTTATATGATTAATGATAATAATGCTTTGTTAATAAAATTACTTCTATGCGGATTAACATCCTTTTTATTGTAAAAATCCTGTTGTATCCGATGCGACCTTGCTGAAATGATGTGTCCATACGTGGAGTTACCTAAGTCTTCTTGAATAAAGCACTAACATAGGTTTAAGTAGAATAACATGAATTCATTTTATTTAGTTGTTTCCGACAACTGCTTACAACATGTAATACGTAAAAATCATGATCACAAAATCGGTCTAAATTACTTACAGAAACGAGTTCAATTGCAACTTGCTTTGGAAACATCTCAGTACCGTATAAAAAGAATGTAGATAAATTTAGGTGACTTAGTAGAATAATACTCAGCGTCTGATGAAGTTGATTGCAGATATGACCTAAAATCTAGGGATAGCTTTACAATGAACATACGAATAAAGTGACTAAAGGTCAGTCAAAGTAAAATTACTTATCCGGAATAGTTGGAGAAGCGTTTGGATTAACAACTATCTAAACACGTCAGCTTCCTGACGTCTGAAAGCAGTGGCTTCAGAAAATTCGAGGGGTCGGTGATCACCATGAACGATTTCAGAATATTGGCCAGATGTGCTTTGACGGAGCGTTACTAGAAATCAGGTCATTCGAAGTATTTCTATTTTATTTAAGTTCTTTGCACATGTTCTAAAATTCTAGGATATGCTCTGCTTTTTGTTCTACTTATGTAGTTGTGTGACAGGCACATGTGAATTTATAGACAATTTGCAGCAACGTGAAGTTGGCACCTGTAGACCAACAATCAAATTATTAAATTTGTTGTTTTACACAGTTTTGATGTTTTAGTCTTAATGCGCTCACCAGCTTTCACGAGCCACTGATAAGTCAGAGAGACAGAAACGACCTATTCTAAAAAGAGATGTTGTCTCTGAACAGACCCAGTATTCATCGAGGTACTCAAACAGCTCCTTCCGAATAATCTTTTCTAAGATTTTTACAACCACACTAGTTAGGCTAATAGGTTGGTGGTTCTCAGGTTTATGTTTTGTACCTGTTTCCGAGACAGGACTTACTATGGCGTTCTTTCGGTAAACGACCCTGTGTTATGGATAGATCAAAGCATATACTTAAAGGTTCCGCAACGATGTTAGATAATTTCTTTAGTTACATAGGACGCAATTCATCGGGCTCCTTGGATTTACCTATGTCGAGCTTATTTAGCAGACCAAAGACATCTAGTTCTTTAACCGTCAAGCTATCCAGTGTATGTGTGGGGAGATTTCTATGTGCTTCTATGGTATATACATTGCTAAAGTAGTTTAAAAACACTTGAGGCTTACCAAAGTCGTCCTCCACTAATGATGTAGCAGTAGTCTCCCCATAGTGCAGGAATATTTCCTCCTATTTTTGTTCTTTTGTTAAAATAGGAATACAAGCGTTTAGTACATTCTATGAATTCCTTGAAAATTTTCTCTTAGTATAACCCTCTAGATTCACAGAGGGTTGACGAACAGGTATTCTGAGCCTTTTGATGTTCAGATTTTGTCTCATCAGTCTCCAGTGAACTAAATCTATCCCACATATTTCTTCTCTTACGGAGACGGTGCAAACCTTCCTACTGAAAAATGATGGAGAGTTCGTTAGCCCCTTGTTGTAGTCCGATGGACTCGTGGTGCAGGACTTTTTGAATATAAACTTTGAAGTACATCCCAAGCTGCTTCAGTTGGAGACCCTGGCTCTACTGACTCTGTCGAATGTACAATATCCTGCATATTTGCTTTGTAGACATTGAGCTGACGAGCGCACTTTATTAACAATCATACTTAGTTAAAGTTTGAAATGTATGATCACTTTTACCGAGGGGTAGCATGTAATCGAGGTTCGTAATGTCATAATCATAATGGGTCAATATAAGATTTAATAAGGATGATTAGAGTCCGAGTCGTACCTAGTCGCTTCCTTCGCTTGTTGCACAAGTGCGTATGTAATAACCCTATCAACTCGTTCCTACTAGAATAAATTAACAGAAGATTCAGCTCTCAGATTTTTTTTAGTATATCGTGGGTGCATTAAACTCTCCTAGGGTAAGATATTTACCAATTTGTGACCAAGTATTGAGACAGTTTAGCAAGAGCTTGGACTGTGGCAGATCAAACCAATCAGCAGCTCTTGTCCTTTAGATTTCAAGAGGCAACTAAGTAGTCCATCACTTTCACGTGATACACTTTGAATAATGGCAAGTAAAATAGCATTCTAATGAAGAGAACTACTTTCCTTCATTTAAGCTTCTGGATTCTGTCGATTATTACTAACGTGAGACCCTCAAAATCAAGTTCCAAACTATCTAACAGATCCCAAAAATATTCTTTGTTCACTTTCTACAAATAACAAAAAATATAAATGAATGAAAATTTTACCGTGGTTTAAATTGAACAGTATGAAATGAACATTATTGTACACTTGTTGTTTGTTTTGTTTTATTTTTTGCAGTGCATAATTACGAAACATTTTTCTTGCGCAACAACTTATCGCGACATCAGGGTGTCATTCAGGTATTTTTATTTTAACTTTTTATTCCACAAACATCCTTGTTTTGCGTGATAAGAAATTTATGACAGTTTCATGCAGAGATATTTTGACACGATTGTCCATTGTGCTTTCTTACCACTCAGCAATTCTCGAGCGAAAAATATTTTACATCGAATCATATGGTTCGATAGAAATAGTTGACCAATCTGACTCTCGAAGTTTGCCATTCTTTATATCTTTGTGTTGAATATAGAGTAAGTTCTTTTGTCCTCAAGGCTTAGTAACAATAGGAGTCAGATAGAATTAGTGTTTATAATTGTTGTGATTTTTCGTGTGCTTCAGATATATGCCAACTTTTTTTAGATTATTTGTCCGATTTTGAGGACTTCCATTCAAACTAGGTTCTGCTTAAACCTCAAATAATCCTAATTCATGTTCGTTTTTATTATAATAGCGACATTGTTCGCTTTTCAATATTGTATATATATACCTCACAATCACTTTTAATATTATAAAATAGCCGGTGTATTTGGTAGGCCCGAGTGTTTCAGTTATTTCGGGCACAATGTACACATACATCTCAGGTTATTCTATTATACGTAAATAACTTAACAAATGCATGTATCTATTCATGTTTATCACACTCCCAGTATGATAATTTGTCGTATTTATAATTTTATGGGTTTCTAAATGTTTTGATTTTTTTAAATGGTCATAAGATTAATAAAACTATGAGTGCCAAGCATTGTGCGTATTTGAAACTGAATTACCATGTATTGTTACGGATATCAGTCATTCACTTATTGATAAATAAATATTTACGTTCTAGATAGTACAATATTAAACAAATCATGTTTAGGTTCTTTGGTTTTCGAATATGTATAGCTCTACAGTTTACATTGTGTAAGTGATAGAGAGACAGCACGAGATAATAATTTGTCAAATGCTCGTTGTATGGGCTGCTAAAGATTAAACTTTCATTATACAATCCGGAGTTAACATTAACAATTCTTTCATGCATTCGGTAGTGAGGCTTTGTGTCATAACACATCACATTAATCGTCTCAATTAGGCAAAATCTTTGTTTCCTTACCACTTTAAAATGATAAATGTCACGTTACAGTGCCGAAATAAGTGAATATAAACATTTGCAGTATAATAGTAGTAATTTATGATTGAGGAATTATGACTCTTCAGATGGCTTCAACACTGATAAAATGACGTATGTTAAATTTTATTTGTTAAATTAAGGTGAAAAAGACTCTTGTAACATTAGTATAGGGGGATAATATTCATTAGAAAGGGATGTCAGTGGTCAACCCATCGAAAGTATAGGTTTGTCGACCATTGTCTTTTAGTTGTCAATTGCATTCAAGTAGTGACTACTATTAAAATCTCAAACTTCTGCAGGTTAAAACTTAGAAACCTGGAATAAATTATCTATCAACTGCTTTCTTGATTAGTCTTATTCATTTTTGTTGATATAATTTTGCTAATGGTTAGGTTAAGTGTATCAACGGAAATCAGTTATGTTTGATGAGAGCGCCTGTATTATAATGTGCTTCCGAAATGAGCAGATCAAGCGAAGCACTCTTTTACTCGAGAGTATGTCATATCTAATCGGAAGATGAAGGTGTATACACTAGGTTCTTTTAGTGAATATCAGTTTCTATGCACTAATTTTTGATCTAGGACATAATGAGAAAATCCATTAAGGAAGCTCTCTAACCTCATCACCTGCATATACTAGACAGCACTTAAGAATATGTAACTTTTTAAGGTTGTAAAGCCCTTGTAGTGATAAAAATGGGGATACTTAAAGTGGAAAGTTCTTTGTCGGTGAAGATAGTTACAGTAAGATTCTCGTTATGTAAGTGACTTTTTGTATAGCCGATCTTGAGTTATATTTGGTCAATAACATTGCAACAGATCTAATTGCAAATATATTTCTTTAGTTGGTGACACAGTTTATTACAGTTTTATGTGCAAGACCACGAATGGGGTTTAATGTTTTAATACTGTCCCACTTATTGATAGTTGCCGCTCACTTTTAGTTCCATAGAACACCATTGTTAGTTGCATGGGGCTCTAAAGGATTCCATCCACTTTTTTAGCTCACCAAACAATATATGAATAAATCACAGTCCAAAAAAGCAAATTAAAATGCATCGAAAAAAGGAGTATACCAGCTTATTTGGAAAACGTGGCTACGTAAAACGTGAGTTTAGATTGTGGTAAATTTGGCCAAAACGCTAACCTTTAAGCAAAAATCGCTGTTCAGTTATGTCTTCTGATAAATTATGGCAGTTTAACTTTGGTCTACCGATTAAATAAGTTTTCTCTTGAAATCTAACTGCCACTAGAAAAAATTACTTCGGAAACTAGCAAACATGCTTTTTGTGACGCAGTTACTAACGAAAATAAACCTTTGTCCAATAATGACAGCATAAGCAGAAAAGCTGAGGTACAGCCACTAGAAAGAGACCAAATGAGCTAAATGTTTAAAAATGTGTAAAAATAATCTATAAGGCAAACAGGTGTCGTCTACAAACTTTTAATCTTTCAAGTGTAAGATTGATCGGTGTATGTGTCTTTGGTTCACCCCATGGTGAGAAAAAATGATCAGTATGTGATCAGTGCTTTTATGCCTGGATTGAAAGCTCCTATTGACCATTCTTGCAACAAGTTTGTTTTTGCATTTATCGGCACAACTGCTCCTTGCTTTCCTCAGATTATTAAAGGCGTTTTTGAATGCTAGCGCACTAGAATTTTTAATATAATTAATATAATTCATAAGGGGCATCTCATTTACCAATCATTTTTATCGCATTGAACCCTGTTTTAAAGCTTATTTTTATACCACTTATTTAGGGAGCAATATATATTTTGCTAGCAAAATCAGGCTTAAAGTTCCCGTTCCGGTTAAGCTATCATAATTCCATAAGTCAAACATGTTTTCTTTTCCTTTTAGTCACCTTTTGTTTACTAATTCTTTGATATTTCCCATCACCTGAGACTGTTTTTTTCAATGATGAGTCATAAGATATTTCTATGTTGTTTCTGGTATGTATAACATCCTTAAAGTGTCAGTTTGTTGAGACCAAGACCAGTTAAAAAAATTTCTGTTCAAGAGAATCGGAAATTCAGAAATAGATAGCACGAATAGATGACAATTATCTACTGATGACTAAACGTTTGATAGAAGACGGAGAAGCCATTTTATCAACACCCAACTCCATTGATTGTATTAAACTCTGCTTTTTGAATAGCACGAAGTAGCTATTTGTTACTTATATTAAGATCTTCATTTATGAAAGGTTCCCGTACTGTGATTTTAGGTAGCTAAAGGTATATTGGTCTGGGAAAGTACACTTATTAACATACGTACATATCTACACCTAATACACCTCCTTGAGGAGCATAGGCCGCTCGCTCACTAAAATTCTCCATCCAACTCTGTCATGGATAATCCATCCCAGTTCTTTCCGGTTGCTATTTGTCTTTTCATGTCTACATTCAGTTTTTGATGCAGTGCGTTCTCTAGCCTCCAACATTTTCGTTTCCCTTCACGATTCCAAGTTAGCCCTTGTCTCATGATGCAGTTTGACGATTTCCTCAATGTATGTCCTATCCGCTTCCAACATCTTTTCCTAGTTTCCTCTTTATTTGAAAGCTAGTTTGCTTTCTTTCACAGTAGGCTGTTGCTGATGGTACCCTCGAAAGCACATCGCCTAGACTTAACTGACAACATCAGAAAACCCTGAAAAAATTATGGTATATGTTGGGATAAATAAAGTACATTCTTAAAGACTGATGGGATTAACCTTTTAAATCGTCATGATGCTCCATTTTAAGTGGTATTTTTTAGATGTGTTTTCATTGAAGAACATAACTCATGGGCTACTCTTTGGTGGGTGACTAAAATGTGTTCATCCAAAGAATTTCTTCAATCATATCTTCATTTTTTTATAAACTGCGTAACATTCCATTAAGACATATTTTGGAATTCGCACATTTGCATGGTTTTTCGATAAATTTTGCAGCATATTTGTTGTCGTGTAGTCAATAATCTTGCCGGGATTTTTTCGATATACATTGTTCCTTTTCAATTGTCCTTCAGTGTAGCTTCTTCTTTGAGTAAACATTGTAAGGCTTGGAACCTGTTGTTGAGAGTTATATTGAATCCGTTGAGTTTGACAGTATGTCGAAGGAAAGCTGTATTAAACCTTTGTAATGTTGTTTGTCCAGTGCTTTTTTAACTTCAATTTCATCTTAGAAACCACCAGCTAGTGGTGATTTAAAGCTATGTCAGCACCTCTCACGGTTCTCACGTCTTCCACTGACCTCAATTTTCTTATTGATGCAAATATGATCAATCAGATTCTTCGTGGTGTAACATGGAGAGACACATGTTACATTGTGTATGCGTTTGTGTGGGGATATTGTGCCACCTATAACCATTTTGTTTAATGCACATAGATTTGCAAATCTGTCGACATTCTCGTTGCTTTCTTCCATTCAGTCCATGTCATCCCATGATATCTTCATACCCGGTGTTGTCCATTCCGATTTTGGCGTTTAAATCTCCCATCATGATGGACAGGTCCTTTGCTGGGCGATTCGCTATGGTCGATTGCGGCCTCGAGTATAACTGATCTTTATTGTCGTCATTGCTACGATTGGTGGGTACACAACATTGGATAACACTCATTTTGATTCCCTTCTTCTTTGTTTTGAAAAATGATTTGATTATTCTGGGTCCGTAAGATTCCCAACCTATAAGTTCTTAATGTGCTTCTTTGTTCAGTATTAGAGCAACTCCCTGAGTGTGTAGAGCATTTTCCTCTTCGTGACCGGAGTACAGTAACACTTCTGAATCTATCCTTTTCTGTCCAACATGTGTTTAATTAATTTCATTTATTTCGAGCACCATCAATTCGTATCTTCTTATCTGCGTAACTATTTGTTTGGTCTACCACATTGTGCGGACATTCCATGTATGTATACTGATTGTTGCGCTGGTTGTTAGAAGGGTCATCAGCCTTGTGATGTCTGAATAATTCCGGCTTTTACCATGAGGCCTGATAATTCTTCTGAATGAAGATCCTTCAACTCGATGGGGGACAGATTTTAAATGGTTTAAATTGATTTTTTTAGTTATGTTTTTTTAGCAAGCTTGTTTTCTACGGGATGGCATTGCTGACCCCATGCTCAACCTTCTTCCTTTACTTGGGTTTGGGACCGGCAGCAGCTCTAGAATAGCTACAGGTTGATTCATGCACTTTGCGGTGTATATATGGGTTGGTAAATACGTTTGGAGGTACTGAGAAAAAAGAACCTGATAGTTTTTGTTTATTTGGGTGAGCGATGCATTTCACATAACTTCGTCGGTCTTGCTGATAGATAAGCAACCTTCGACGCTACATTTATCCTGTGGTTTATTACTCCAGTGTTCGCATCTCATTTTAAGGACAAATATAAGACGTATGTTTTTTATCTACAGTATTGTATTTAATCTGTGGATTCGTTTTGCCATACTTCTCTATAAATTTCGTTGGATATACTTTTTCGCGCAGGCAATTTGTAATCAACGCAAATTTTTCCTCCAGACTTTCCTTCGAGCAAATTTTACGAGCGCGGTTATTTTGCTTTCAAGAGTAGTTTACTTCCCAGACAACTAATTATGATTGGTAATTTGATATAACAGAATGAATTTCACGAAACAAGGTTGTTTCATAGGGAAGGAACTTGACACTGTTAAACTGTGGACATAGTCTGTTTAACACCTGATGTCATCATTGTTTGTTGTTGACTTTAGATCTAATCTATGCATACGTTAAAAAATTTATTTTAGTGTTTAGATCACGGATTTAAGTGTAATTTAAGGGATGGATAAATGTTAATGGAAAAAGATATTTTACTTCATATATTGTCTTTAAGTCTCGTCCTAAATTTACTGAAGATATATAAAAGTTTTTTGATAGTATTGTTTTATTTTTTATCCAGCCATTATGATGGAAGAAGTTCATGAACTTGACAAAATGAACAATGGACGTGATCATATACCAGTTGTACAGCTGAAGAAAACTATTGGACTTGCAAGCAGTATAACAATCATAGTTGGTTCTATGATTGGGTCTGGAATATTCGTTAGTCCAACTGGAATTATGGAAAATGTTCGTAGTATTGGAGCAAGTCTTATTATATGGGTTGCTTGTGGACTTTTCAGTATGTTGGGAGCGTACTGTTATGCTGAACTAGGAACCATGATTCATCGATCTGGAGGAGATTATATATACGTTTATGAGGCTTTTGGCCCATTTCTTGGTTTTCTTCGATTATGGTCAGAAGTGGTTGTTGCCAGACCTGCATCTGTTGCAATAATGTCCATGACATTTGCAAAATATATTGCACAACCAATTTTTCCTGATTGTGATCAACCTGAAGGTGCAATACGTCTTTTGGCGGCAGTGTGTATTAGTAAGTTACTTCCTTAGTTTATTTAACTTCACACACAAAACTATATTTATATAAATATATATTTAGTTCCTGTATCCTGTCAGCTGAGTAATAGAACATGGATGCTGAGGAGTTAATTATACATTCAATGAGCATAAAAATCTTATTTATTTATTTTAACACATAGATATTGGTACAGGGAGGCGCCAAATATATATGCGCCATACATATCTCATTTGATATGTGTGAGGGCTGTGATACTGCTCGGGTGCCCAAACCGAACCAGCTGGTTTTCTTAGGGAGCCACACCCCGAGCCTTCGACCTGAACGTCTGACCCACAAGGCAGTGGAGCATCGTAAGGAGATGCAGTCCAGTCCCATGGTAGCCGATGACCAACGATTGGTTCATACGCCATTTGTTCCTTCAGGATACTGGAGCTAGCCCATGTGCACCATTGGTTTGGATCCGGTTAAGGCGCTAGGCATTCGCTTTTCGTCCTCTCATTTTCGTAAACAACACCTGTGGTGCGAGAAGGCAGTGAGTAGGACTTCGCTGGCAGAGGCTAAATACTCGGGGCCATGTGAGAGCTTTTCGAGTGAGAGAGTGGACTCTTCTCACTCTCGACCGTACCAGGGCATAAAAATCTAGAGATTGAATTATAATTGAATGACAATATGTGATCCGTATTAGATGTTAAACAAGTTAAAATTGGAACTATAATTTAATTTAAGTTTTTCTCATAGAAGTAACAAAATACATTGTTATTGTTAATCAATCATTCAATGTATTTAATTGTTAAGCTTTCATTATATGTGCTAATTCATTCATATTTAATAAGTGTTAATTATTCCTTTAATTTGAGTTTTAATGAACCAATAAAATTTGTTTGTTTATTGAAAATGATGAACTTTATTTCTTCTCTTAGAAATTATTCATTATCTTGATAGAGTGTTTTATTCTCTAAGCTGAATAGTTTGCTCACAGAACATCATCCAATTGAGCTACAAATCTTCTGCATCATCTCACTATATTTATTATCCTCTTCATTGATTTATAATCAGTAAGGTTTAATTATTCATTATAATTTAAGGATATTTTTCAACATTATTCAATTAGTGAGAATATTTAAAGAGGTAATAAAAAGAAATGGGTTAAATTTTTTAAATTATTAATAAAAAGTATGGACTAGATAATGAAATTCACTGATTACGAAATGTAATTATAGTTATTTCACTGATTGAAATCGATAGCGCAACTTCGTGGATCGGTTTAAGTTAGACATTAACATTGTTCGATGCTGACCAGTTCAGTGGTCTAGTTGATTAAGCGCCTGGCGCGAGACTGATAGGTCCTGGGTTCGAATCTCTCGAGGGGGGGGGCGGAATCGTAGATGCACACTGCCACGGAGGAGTTCCATACTAGGACGAAATGGCCGTCCAGTGCTTCCAGGTTTTCCATGCTGGTCTAGCTTAAATTGACTCATGATTTCAACCAGTGAACTTTCTAAAATCTCCACACAACCCCTTCTGATAATTGTAGATATAATGAAAATAGTAAACGTACTGAAAATACTTAGATAATTACGTAATGGATAGTTAAACATTTTATTGATTAATGATTAGAATAATAAGATTAATTATCATATTAAATAAGTTAGTAGATCAATCGAGGTTGACTACTTTAGGTTTTTAAACTAAGAGAGTTACTTTACTTCTCACAATTATTATTAATAAATTTTTTTACGATCATTCGTCAAGACTTGAACGAATACTTACTTACACCTGTTACCCCCAATGGAACATAGGCCGCCAACTAGCATTCTCCAACCCACTCTGTCCTAGGTCTTCCTTTCTAGTTCTAAGCAATTGTTGTTCATTCTTTTCATGTCTACCTCCATTTCTCGGCGTAATTTGTACTTTGGTCCTCTTCTTCTTCTTCTTTGGCCTTGAGGATTTCAAGTGAGGGCTTGTCTTGTGATGCAGTTGGGTGCTTTCTTGAAGGTGTATCCTACCCACTTACAGCCCTTTTTTCTGATTATTAATGGTTACTCTAGTTGTCAGAAGGGGCATCAGCCTAGTGACTTCCGAAGGAACTCGACTTTCATCATGAGGCATCATAACTTTTCTAAATGAAGGCTTTCTAACTCCCGGGGCAGAGTTTAGCTGATTTGAATTATTTTTTTATGGTTAACGTTTTTTTTAGAGAGTTAGTTTTCTACGGGATGGAGTCGTTAACTCCATGCCCAACCCTCCTCTTATATTCGGGCTTGGGACCGGCAGTAGCTCAAGAGGGGCGGGTTACAGGAGGAATAGTTTGACAAAAATTGGGCGCTGAGTATAGAGAAGTCATTATATAATTGAAAATTATATTTGAAACAATCTCAGCGATTGAAATTTAAAAATAATTCCAACGTTTTGTTCAGCTAACTTGTCTGAACTTCTTCAGGGTAATAATCAAAATTATGGAAGAAATATATAGTGTTTTAACAATCAAATCAAATCAAATCTATACTGTGTTAATCCAATCATATTCAGATGTTGACTTAAGTAAGTAGGATAACATAAGTCCGTTAAATGCGAATCATGTGAAAAGTTCACAATATGGAAATAAATGACTGAAACAAATTATCTGTGTGTGTGTGTATGTATGTATGTATATTTGTGTAAGATTGAGTTATTAATGAATGATATTAGGTGTGAATATGTTTTTATACGAAAGGAAAAATTAAAGTGTAATTTGAAGGTTGAATCATTGAAGTACAAGTAAAAATGAGAATCATGTAAATACATATTTGTATTGCTAAAAATAATTCACATTAATTCCAGTCAAAATAACAATGCATGTGAAATATATAGCTTGAATAAAGAACGGGTCTAATTACTTGTTAACTAATATTTGCCAAGTAGTTGCTATCTGAATACCATCCTTTCTGTTTAGGCTGTTCTTATTCGCCCATACGTACAACGCTTCTGGTACAACCTTTCTGAAGCATTTCTGTCCCTTCAAAATTAATCTTGCGTCCTATTTCCAATTCATGTAACGCTATCTCAGACTTATCCACAAGTTTCATTAGATCAACCAAAGATTTGGGAACATTGTTAAATACTGTTTGTGTTCCTTCAGTCTTACATTCAATTGTCTGGATGTTTCTCCCACATAAGCTGTATTACAATTAATCACAGTTGATCTTATAGATAATATTTTGTTGTTCTTCCTTTGGGAACCTATCCTTAACTTTTACTAATGCCAATTTTATTGTGTCATACTTGTAGCCTGTTGTGTTCGCTTGTGGTGGCGGGATCACCATTTTAGTGGCCCGTGATCTGACTCCAATTTGATCGTAATGATTGGTTGCTATCACCTATCCTCATATAAAATCATTGACTTAAATCGCGTTAGTTAATAACGGAATTAAATAAGTCAACTAACGAGAATGGAGTTTTGAATGCATATATTTTGTATAATTGTTGATTAGACAAACGAACGGAGGAACGATGCGAAGATGAGAAAGCGAAGCACAATTGACGAGCGGTGGAGACGGCTGGTAAGCCAACTCTCCCTTTAACAAAGAGTTAATCAATATTTATAAGCCCACAAAAATAAATTACAGACATGTGATGAGTAACGGGATAAGAAGTGTACATACGCCTACGCGCTCATGCAAAGACAGTCAATATATTGATAAGCGAATAATTAACAAGGTCAGAATGTGACTCAAATAGAATGAATAGAATGGGCTGTCCAAAAGTTAGAATAATGAGGTATTTGGGCTTAACATAATGACAGACACTACATACTCCCGAAAATGCACTTTAACATCATGCTTGTTTAGAATCCGCTTGATTTCTTCCGATGTTCTACTACGGTATGGGATGCCAACGGTGAACTTCCAATCTTTCAGTATACATTCTAGTTTAATTATTTTTTCATTTCTAATAATCTTCTTTAAAAACTCTTTTGGGTAGTTGTTATCCCTAAGTGTGGATAAAACTCTATTCAATTCAACTTGTTGGTCTTCCTTATCTATAATAAGCTTAATACATCTGTTAATTAAATTATTTTACAACAATGACTTTGTACACAGCCCATGAGACAAACCATAATCTATGTATCTCTCAGAATGTGTTGATTTCTTAAATACATTTATTTTCAATTTATTATTATTATGTCTTCGTTCAACCAAACAATCGTAAAACGCTAGTTTGTAGTCAATAGATTCTATTTTCTTCGTTAGCTTAATGTTCTCCGAAATGTTATTTACATTTTCAAACAAATGTTCTAAACCATCTCATTTAATGATAATAAAAATGTCATCTACATACCGTTACCAGACTCTCAGTGGACATACACTTCACGCGATTACACTGGTTTCTAGGGAATACATTAATAAATTCACTACAATAGGAGAAACTAGTGAACCCATTGCTATAACTTCTTTTTACCTGTAAAGGTTCCGTCGAAATATGAATAAGGTGAATCTTGAACATAATTCCCAGCATATATATACATATCTTTGATGATTTTGATTAATACCCTGAAGAAGTTCAGACAAGTTAGCTGGATGAAACGTTGGGATTATTCTTAAATTTCAATCGCTGAGATTATTTCCAATATAATTTTCACATATAATAACAAGAATTGTTTTGTTTCACGTATTTTATTTGTAGATTTTCAAGTATTTTTTTTTCTTTTGTTTTACAACTAAAATATTTAATACATTACGCAAAGATGGATAGTAGGTAGCAGGGGAATCTAGGACACGTTTTTCGTCCTATTTGGGACTCATCAACTGTGGGTGTACCTGCATCCTAGAGTTGATGTTCACTCCGAGACTCAAACCCAGTACTGTTCACTTCAAACGTCATCGTATTCTCGACTTAGCTATTGAGTCCTGATAGCCACTTGCTTGTACAATGGAGTGAAGTTTAAATTCACTTGATATTGTTTTACTTGTATCTTCTCATTGTTATTTACGATTGAAACTGATCAGTCTCATGTTGACAATATATGCATCCTGTGAGAATCTCGTCGATATAGCCTTAACTCATAAGCTTTTCAAGCAAAGATGGATAGTAACTAGCCAACAAAAAAACAGGTTTTTTTTCACTTTTTTTTTATTGTTAACATGAGTCATGTACATTGAATTGAATTGTTACAGTCATATCATACATGAATTATGTATGTTCCATTAACTAAATGATTATCATTTTATATCTTCTTATTTTTTTATTATTTTTAGTTTTATTAAGTTTTATCAATGCCTTCTCTGTACGAATGTCTACATTTGTTCAAGATATATTTACTTATGCAAAAGTAGCTGCTTTAATTATGATTATTATTACTGGATTTGTACAAATTGGTTTTGGTAAGTTTTTTTTTTCTCTTTTTTTTGTTTTTTTTTTAAAGGTTCTCCTATTTATTAGATAAGTAATCTTCATAGAATTAAACAAACTTTTGAATTTCATACTATACATTTATAAAACTTTTTGACTGATTCTAGCTGAATGTATTATATATACAACTTGTATTTGTACACTATTATGGGTTTGTACTTCTTTATAAGCTACTTATTTTTCTCATAGATACAATATTTAATTCATTAAATCAGTAAAAATTATTGTCTCACACACACACATACACATAGTTCCCTTTATCATCTTTGTTCTTGCTCTTTTCAAATGTGTTATTATTGATATAACATTAGAGTATAGGATTGTTTTAACTATTTATAAAATTCATATCAGAAGGGTTTTGTGGATATTATAATAATTTAAATGGTTGATATGATGAGTCAATTGAATCTAGACTACTATGGAAAACCTGAAAGCACTGGACTGCTGTTTCGTCGTATTGTGGGACTCCTCAGCAGTACACATCCATGATCTTGCCTCGCGAGATTGATAGATTCTGGGTTTGAATCTCACAAGGCGGGATCATGGATGAGCATTGCTGAGGAGTCTTGTACTAGGACGAAACGGCCATCCAGTGCTTCCAGGTTTTCCATGGTGGTCTAGCTTCAATTGACTCATGATTTTTATTTCCCATTGGTTTTTTTCTAATTAATTTGATCAATCTTGATCACTTCTCCTTTTATCTCCATGGTTACTATATCTAAAATTTACTGTAATCTATAATATTTAATAATTAATTTTATAATCTGGAAAACATGTTTATTCAAGTTGATTACATAATATGGACATATTTTCCTACTTGATTTCTTTTCCAGAGTAAAAAAATAAAAATTAAAAAAAATCTTTCGATTAAAGTGAGTTATGTCGTTTATTTCTATATAAAGAAATAAATTCAATTCAGTGTTTACTAAAATGAAACAATCTTAAACTATTTATGTTTATGTTCCATTAAGAGATTAGAAGATTATTCATTGAATAAATAATATTATGATTGATCAACAGATTCTTTAACAATAGTTATTATTTCTTTAAATCTGTTATTAGTATTTTGTCGAGATAGACAGGAATCGAATTCAATTCAAATCGAAATGATTTGGATTATATGATTGTTAATGTTTTGACTGAAGTTTGATCAGTTCTGGTTAGTATATGTATATTCTCTAAGCATTACCTCTAAATGGTGATTATGATACAAGTTAATGCAGAATAGATAGAATGCAGTTAGTAAGGAAATCAACAATATACATTTCATTCTATTATGGAAGCATCAGATGAATATACTTCATCCGAATTGATATTCACTTTGGGACTCGAACCCAGTATCGTTCACCTCTTTATCCACCTATTTATTGAGTCCAGATAACCATTGGCTTATGAAGTAGGTGGATAACACGATGCTAATCATATTCCATCTATTCTAAATAGATAGAAATTATTTTTAAATAAACAATGAATTAGTCATTCGAAAAAAGCACCAGTTGTCAGTTATGATCAATATAGAGCCTTGTTCATATGTCACCAGAACGAAGTGATATTAACAATACAAATAACAAAGAAGTCGAAGCAATTATAATAATTTTTGTAATAGTAACGATAATGAAAAAGATTAATCATAGAAAGTTTGGTACGAGAAGACGGAATTAAATGGAATGTTTGAATCAATACTGGAACTGATGAATTAAAGGAAGAGAATGAGCGAATGGATTGATCTAGTGTGACTGACTTCAATCATTTTCACCTAACATCTCAGTAATCATACTGACAATTTGAATCAAACAATTTAAATATGATGATGTATTAAATGATTTTTAGTAAATCATAGTTAAGAAGTTGACTCGGAGGAAGTAAAAATCATGGAAATTCACGTTGTTTTTTTTAAATCGTCAAGTAAAATTTTGTCAATACTGTTGAATAGAAATTGACTTAAGGAACGTGCTAAATAGGATCGTCTAATCATTCCTAATGAATATTTTGCCTAAAACTGTTATCCATCTTAACAAGAACTCAGATCTGTAAACTGGTTAACAGTCTTTGATAAATTTTTATTAATTTTATCTATAACATTCTAAATACATCACTAATACAAATTGTATTCAATAGATGGTAGGTTTGAACTTTCAACTAACATGACAGATATTACATTGAAATCAAAAAATGTGTATTAGAATGTTTACGTTTCAATGAACCCTACACATTTTGAGGACTTTGGATTAGTTAAGGATATTGGTTATTTGAAGAAGTTAAATTTGTTTAATGAACAAAACTGAAATATATAAATAAATGATCTTGCCTATATCGAGGTATGATGTAACTTCATTACTGAAAATTGGTTTCCTTAAACAGTATATTACATATGGACATTATAGGAACATTCTAAGAGCTAGTTTTTTATTAAATAAATAGTTACTACTCAGTAGAATATTATTATTTTGTTTTAATACTTAATAAACTGATTGTAAAATAAATTAATTAAAATGAAAAGCAGTGACCAGTGGAGTTCTACCGAGTCAGTTGTGAGATAGTAACTCACTGATGAAAATGATGGATGTGTCGCTCAATTTCGTGGATTGGTTGAAGTTAAACATTAACACCGTTCGATGCTGGCCGGCTCAGTGGTCTAGTTGGTTAAGCGCCTGGCGCGCGAGGCTGATTGGTCCTGGGTTCGAATCTCGGGGGTAGCGGGATGGTGGAAGCACACTGCCACGGAGGAGTCCCATGCTAGGACGAAACGGCCGTCCGGGTTTTCCATGGTGGTCTAACTTCAATTGACTCATGATCTCAATTATTCAAATGATTTGGATTGAGATCATGAACCGATTAATGTCAGACCACCATTGCAAACCTGGAGGCACTAGACGACCGTTTCGTCCTATTGTGCGGCTCCTCAACAGTGAGCATCCACAATCCCACCTCATGAGATTCGAACCCAGGACCTATCAATCTCGAGCGCGAGCGCTTAACCTATAAATCACTAATCTGGCCAACGTCGAACGGTGTTAATGTCTAACTTCAACCAATCCACGAATTTGATATATTACATAGTTAACTGAATTCTTCATAAATTATGAAAATATTATCATGGATTATAATGAACAGTTAGAACTGAATAACTAAATGAGTAAAAGAGTAATAATAATTATATTTTTGATTTTAGACGAAAAAATATGTTTATTCAATTATACACACACACACATGAGCGCGCGTGCATTTGTCATTTCCACAATGATAATACTTGTCTATTCTTCATAGGTTTTATTTAAGTGGTTCGTTTTGTATTTGAAATGGATTTCATTGTTGAGAGATGAAAATTATGCACTACTTATTAAATGATTGAATAGTTTTTTTTTCTCTAAAATTTTATACCTCAATTTTCATGTTTCTCTACTAATAAATGATAAATAAGTAGTTGAATACATGCTGATTTCAACCATATTATTCTTTTATTTGTATTGTGACTAATTTCTCATGTTGTAAGTCTGTAATTGTTGAATAACTCAATAAATAACTCATAACAACTTCAGTTAAGGATTGAATAATGTTTGACATTTCCGATATGATTGTTATCTGTCAGTTAACACCTAAAACTCATCACAATCGATTGATCACTGGATGGTGATCAATGTCATGTGTGTCAAGTCCTTCTTAATGCAGATAGAATGTTATCGACCAAGTTGGCCATTAGTCTAGGTGACTCGACATTTTGTGCACTATGTTGAGATTAGATGATTGTTGGAGGTAGCCAACAGGAAAGATTACAGGTACACCTTGTTGACGAGTGCCAAGTAGCACGAGACCCGAGTTCAAGGGTTTCCTGTTGACTACCTCCAACAATCATCTGACCCAAACTCATTCAAAACACTTAAGTTTGAAACTTAGTTTTGCTTCATTTAACTTGTTTTCTTTTTGGTTTTAAAGAGCTCCGTCTCCATCATATTCATCTGAATATTGATAATAACTACAAAACAAACTGAAAATAAATCATGTATACATTAGCAAAGCGTGGTTTTCAAAAATGTATAGTTTAAACGATTATACCGGGGGATTTCTAGGTTACTATTTTATTGATTTTTCTTGACTAATAAGATTTTGTATTGATGGTGAATAATGTAAACTGGAAAATTTACTCTTTCATTTGTCTAAATTGAAACTTATCATTAATCTTCATAATTTTCAAGATGAACCATGATATTTTAGATAATATTTCTATGAGAATAGAAAAAGAAATCGGAATTATGAAATGTATCAATCACTTTACTTATTCGGGTTGTTTATCATTTCAAATAGTATATTGCGAATCAAAGACAAACTAAAATATTTAAGCTATAATAGATGATAACTAATAGTGGAATCTAAGATGCATGTTTAATCTCATTTGGGACTCTTCAGCTGAATGTATTTATATCCTAGAATTGGTGTTTACTCTATCTCTGCTTATAATGTTTGTAGTCTAATAGGAATATCGAGGCGATTCGCATAGGATAAACATAAATCAGAAACAGACTGATCAATTGCAGTCATAACACATCAATGGCAAGATTCAAACAACCATTGCAAATAAAATATTTAGAATAATCTACAATAATTTTTAACATTTAAATAAGAAGATATTATTTTAAAAGCTTTTACTAAAATAAATCTTTTTGTAATTAACTTCTGGGAGTTTTAGGTATCTGGTTAGTGTACGGTTTTATAATCATGAAGTCTAGGCACTGCTTTCTCGTAATAGGGGTGTTGTTTACGAAAATGAGATGACGGGAAGCGAATGTTCGGCGCTTTAACCGAGTTAGTAGATATAGAGGATTCACCTAGGAGAGTTAGAAAACCCTGACTCCAAACCAATGATGCATATTAGCTCTAGGATCCTGAAGGAACAAATAGCGTATGAACCAATTATTGATCACCAGCTACCATGGAACTACATCTCTTGACATTGCTCTACTTCCTTGTGCATTAG